GGAGCTCCTCCCAAGAACCAGCAAATCAGTCCTTCCTCGTTTCCCTTTTATGCCTACTGGCCCTGAGGGGTTGGTCCTTTACCCCCACACCGTCTTGGTGTGCTGTTCTTGCACGGGCTCAGGATGTTTACAAAATGAGGACCCTGGCCCCATGCTCAGTCCCTTAAACTTTTAACTTCTGAAATTAACACAATGAACAACATCCTAGAGCAGGAAGGGCATGTTCTCCACACCCCAGGATGTAGAATTGCTGTCTTACTTAGTTCAGCTTCTACACTGCTCAAGTTGACATAATCCAACCATTACAGTTATAGGTCATGAAAGTGAACTAGAAAGATTAAGGTGTGTCATCTGAGGGTCTTACTAAAACACATTGCGATTCTGTAGGCTTGGGGTGAGGGTGGGAGTCTGCACATCTACCGGGGCCTGTGCAGCAGAGACAATGGTGTGGGGAGCTGGTCAGGCGATGGCACAGCAGAGGTCAGATAGGTTCCGAGATGTTGGGATGGGAAAGTCAGGCTGGTGGAGGGCAGATGGGGACATGTCTGCCCCTATGAACACAGTGGGTACACGCCTCCGCCACACTCAGAGATGCCCAGGAACCGAGTGGAAAGCTCAGGGTTCCCTTTCCTTCCTTGTCCTCTTAGTTTCTGCTTGCAGATACAGAAGTGGGATTTAAGGGTGAGATGGGGTACGGCTTATTTTCCTTTCATTACTATTTCAAAATCTCAGTTTTTGGCTGCTGTAATGTACACATCTGTTTTGGTTTTTTGTTTTGTTTTGTTTTTTTCTGGTACCGGGAATCGAACTCATAACCTTGCGCTTGCCAGGCAGGCTCTGTGCCACTGAGCTAAATCCCGAGCCCCAGTGTACACATCTGGAATCCCAGCACTTGGGAGGTTGAGGCAGGAGGATTGCAGGTTCATGGCAAGCTTGGGCTACCTCATGAGACCCTGTCTCAAAAAATCAGGCAAATAATAAAACACACCTTAATCCTCTTATCAGCCTGTTAAATTTATACTCAAAGGTTTAGGAAATGATCTTTTTCTTAAAAAAAAAAAAAATCAATGGCTAATCAAGACTTATGTTTTTGTTAGCTGTTTGAAGCTAAACCTGTATTGTCCACGCGAGAAGCCTGGGAAGTGATATTTAAGTTTTCAGTTGCTACTGCAACAAATGACTACAAACTGAGTGGCTTGACCCAGTGAAAATTTGTTCACTTAATAACATCAGAAGTCTGAGAGCTTATTGAAGCACAGTTGTGCTTCTTGGGAAGTCCTTCCGTGCCCTTTTCGGCCTATGGTTCCTTGGCTCGTGGCCATGTTGTCCCAGTCTTCTACCTGTGTCACATCGGGCTCTGTTTCTCCTCTTTCATCTTTCATCAAGACCCTGAACTCTGGGTCCAGGGCCAGCTGCAGTCCAGGGCTTTGTGTGTACAAAGGCTGTGTTCACAAGTTAGGGAGGTAGGACTTGGATGCACCTTTTGGGGGCCAGTATTCAACCCCTACAGAGGTAAGCACTACCAGTAGTGAGCGGTGTGAACTGATAGATGGAGTTTTGCAAAGAGTATCTCTGGAAAATGTTCTTGTTTTCACTAGGAAGTATGCAAAAGCTGAGACTCTGCTGACTGTCACCGACCCAGTGCATGACATTGCCTTTGCGCCAAACTTGGGACGGTCTTTCCACACACTGGCAGTTGCTACCAAAGATGTGAGAATTTTCACATTAAAGCCTGTGAGGTGAGTTTTAGAAGTGACGGGTTTAAAAACTCTTGCCTCCTGTCACCTGTGGAAGAGAATTGAAGTAACTGATCCGAAGAATGGGTTCCTTGATGGACGTCCTGTGTAACTGGGATGTTTGGAGTGGAGAACTGTGGGAACAGACGGGATGAGTGTTCTCGCTCTCTTGTGGGAGGAGGGACTGGGGGTTGAGTCCAGGGCCTCTGCACTGCTGGCCTCCATCGCTACCCCTTTTTATTTTTGAGACAGGGTCTTGCTAAGTTGCCCATGCTGCTGAACTTTCAGTCTTCCTGCCTCAGCCTCCTGGAGTACTAAGATTATAGGCATGCACTACCACACCCAGCTGATATATTCTCTTAATTGCTTATTGAAGCTCTTAGTACCAATGACTTGGATTTTTTTTTTCGTTTTTCTTTTTGAGACAGGGTCTCACTGTGCAGTTCAGGCTGACCCTGAGCTCACTTTGTATCCCATGCTGGCCTCGAACATACAACGATCCGCCTGCCTCAGTCTCCTGAGTGCTGGGATTACAGGCCTGTGCCACCACGCCCGGCTTGGATTCTTTAAAAATAATTGGTACCTTATAAAATGTTTGCTTAAGGAAAAATAAATTAACACTGAGACATTCTTGTGAGTAATCTGTCCAGCTTTAATCTTGAATTAGGAGTTTCAGTTCTTTTTCTCGCGCGTTTTTCCTTTCGGTTCTTCCTGTTGCTGTTCCTGTTGAACTTCTGTCTGATCCCTGAACCTCGACTGACGAGTAACTGCCTTGCTTGTTGCTTCTCCCTTCAGACGGTCGCTGAGTATCATTCACGGGCTGGGATCACTGAGGTCCTGGCGATCAAACGAAGATGCAAATGTATACATTGTCATAACATGATGTGAGGGGTGCCTGAGACTATTTGTATTTTCTTGCTCTTTTTTATTCCCCTTGGAGCTGGGGATGGAACCCTGGGCTTCATTTATGCTAGATAGGCAGCTCCACCCCAGAGCTACACTACTATCCCCACTGGTACTGTTTATTCCTCAGAATTCCTTAGAATATTTTTTTTTAATTTATAGGAAAGAACTTACTACCTCAGGTGGGCCAACAAAATTTGAAATCCACATCGTGGCTCAGTTTGATAACCATAACTCCCAGGTCTGGCGAGTGAGTTGGAACATAACAGGAACAGTGCTAGCATCTTCAGGAGATGACGGCTGTGTGAGACTGTGGAAAGGTAGGGTGCTTTCTTCGTTGCTGTTTTTGAGACAGGCTCCTACTGTGTAGTTCAGGCTGGCTTTGAACTCACTTATGTAGCCCAGCCCGGCCTTGAACTTGAGGCGATCCTCCTGCCTCAGCCCCTTGAGCACTGAAATTACAGGTATGTGCCACCACACTTGGCTTAAAGTAGGGTGCTTTCTATTTCTACTTGAATTTTCACTTAAAAATACAAGCTCTGAAATATCTTGAAAAATTATTTTTGTAGTTATTTTAAAATCAGTGTCTTATATTTATTTTGACCATTAGTTTACCTAGATCATAACAGTTAATGGCTAGTTGAATTGTTTCTTAAGTTTCTATGTGGAATGAAATAACTTGTAAAACTGTGTAATTATAATAACTGTGTGTGGGGTGCATGCCTCTAATCCCAGGTGTTTAGGAGGCTTAGGAAGGAGGATTGAAAGTTTGAGGCCGGACTGGGCAATTTAGGGAGACCTTATATCCAAGTAAAAAAAGAGCTGAAGAGTTGAATGCCTCTGAGTTTAATGTCCAGTTACCACCAAAAACAAAACAGCCCCTAAAAACAAAAACTAAGGCCTTTGTAGCAGAGCATGTGGCATCTCCAGTGAGATGACACTGTTTACTATGGGTAACTTGAGTGACTGCTCTGCACACTCAGGCAGAAACCTGGTCATTGCTGATTTCATTAAATGCTTTCGGTTTTTTTTTTTGGTTTTGGTTTTTCTCCGGTACCGGGAACCGAACTCACAACCTTGCACTTGCCAGGCAGGCGCTTTGCCGCTGAGCTAAATCCCCAGCCCTCATTAAATGCTTTCGATGACCAGTCTTCTGGTCAGTGTCTCCCTCACTTCTGCTCTGTAACTGCAAAGCCCAAGAAGCCTGGGATGCTTGGTTTTCTCACAGCCCTGCGCTGAGCAGGAAGTGCATACAGTGAGTGTCGTGAGTCCCACCTTCCCAGGCAGTTTATCCATCCGGCTTAAGCATGTGTGCTTGTTGTGCGCCCCCAGAGTAGGGATGTTCACACACAGCTTGCGGAGTTACAGCTGTTTGCCCGTTTACCTTGAGCAATCTGCTCCCCAACTGTAGTTGGGGAGCCCTGCAGGCCTCCCTTGTTAAGGTGTAGGCTGTGGTAGAAGCAGCCCAGACCTTCCTTTCCTTAATCCAATTTTGTTTTAAGGATTTTGCTATTCTTTCTACCTCTGAGCCTTAGTCAGGACCACCCAGCTGCACCCAGCAGCCTCCCTAAGTTGGATTTGCTGGGATCATTGACTCTGGTTTTTTTTTTTTTTTTGGCGGTACCAGGGATTGAATTTATGACCTTGTGCTTGCCAGGCAGGCGCTTATGCCACTGAGCTATATCCCCAGCCCCCATCACTTACTCTGGTACCAGTTTTACCTTCACAGGATGAAACTACACTGGATAAGTCTTACAACCCCCACTCAAAAGGTTTTGTTACCTAAACTTATGTCTAAAGAATGGTACCCACACAATTTGTGCTTTCATAAGCAAGAGGACAACTTTATTCTTTCTTACACAAATTTATCATAGTAAAGACATTTTGATATTAACTTCATGATGTGACAAAGTAGTAGGTTAGAGAATTGTCTGTACTAATTGTACTAATATTTATTTTACAAAGCAGGGAAATGGGGACAAGTTTAATTTTTTAAAATTAATAATGTTTTGAAATCTTTAAAAAAGTGTCATACTGGAGTATATTTCACTTAAAAATTGTCTCTCATGTTTTCCTGGAAAGAAGTTGTGGCCCAGGACTTCTGTCCTGTTTCTTTCCTTGTAAGATGTGGTAGGGGTTTGTGTTGCTGTGTGTAGGGTCAGTCATGTGAACATACTTGATTTTCCTTTCAGCTAATTACATGGACAATTGGAAGTGCACTGGGATTCTGAAAGGTAATGGGAGCCCAGTCAATGGGAGTTCTCAACAGGGAAACTCAAATCCTTCCCTAGGTTCAAACGTTCCCAACCTTCAGAGCTCATTAAATGGATCTTCTGCTGGCAGGTACGCTGTTTATGGTAAACTAGAGATGATCTTTTTAAATGATTCTGGTAGTCATGCTAAAGGCATGTTATTTGATTTTAAGATGGAGTGAAAAAATTCATACATAATTTTGACACTAGAATTTAAAACTTCATCTTGTAAGCCCTCATAGTTTTTACAGGTAGGTTGTAAAGCCTTTAAAGTCTGAAATGTAGTGGTCTGTCAGTAAAAATGTTTCTTGCTTTGTTGAAGATTCTGCTTTGCTTTGGCAGCAGTGAGAAGAATGGGAAATATGGTTTAAGAGGGTTTAGTCCTAGATGAACATTAAGGGTTTAGTGCTCATAATGTGGCTTTTGCATCAGTTCAAACTAGAATTTTAGATAAAATATATTAACTAATGCTTTGTAGAAGAGAGTGAGTTAAATGATTTGGGTTTTGTGTTTAAAATGTTAATGAAAAGCTGAGTGTGGTGGTGCATGCCCGTAATCCCAGCACTCGGGAGGCTGAGGCAGGAGGATCACTGTGATTTGAGACCAGCATGGGCTACATAAGCTAGTTCAAGGCCAGCCTGTACTACATAGTGAGACCCTGTCTCAAAAAAAAAGAAAAAACAGTAATGGAGATTATAAGAAGAAATGATAATATCTGAGATTTTGATTTTTGGAATACCAAGCATATGTTAGATTCTTGTTTGTCATAATAAAGAATATTTAAAACATCTCATGTAATGTAGAGTCATCCTTTTGTGTTTATATTTAGTTTTCAAATATGTGAGTTTGTATGCTAAAATTATTAATACGCTTTTGGAAGAATTCAGGAAACTTCAAAACCATCCATAAATTGTCCCATGTTTATTATCATCCCCTAAGTGTAAGAAAATTGTATTTGAAGTTTCAACTATTTTTATATTGTTAAAGTTTTATAACTGCTTTGGCAGCAGTGAGAAGTTCTCAGCAGGGAAACTCAAATCATTTATTGTTTCATTTATTGTTTCCTTTATTGTTTCATTTATAATTTGGTAAAGGAAAATGGAAACATATGATGTCTAGCTATTTAATTTTGAAGCTTTAAGTATTTGCATCTGTTAAAACAGTTTCAGGTTGCCGTACAGGATAGTGGGTTATACAGATAATTTCATGAGGCAATGAATACTGGGGTTAATTTCTAGAACGTTTCTGGTGCTGCCTGTACCGTGTATTTGCTTTGTTCATAGCTGTGATGTTTTGATCTGTATTCTTGTTGTGCCGATAACCTCTGTGTTAGATCTGTGATGCATTTTCCCTTCTCCATTTGTATTATGTCCTTTAACAGAAAGCACAGCTGAGCACAAGCTAATGGATAACTTTGCTGTTTGCTGCTTGTTGCATGCACACAGGAATGGAAAGTGAGCTCCTTTCCCCTTCCCCAGCGCCGTTTGACCTCTCCCAAGATACACCAGCAGCCTGCTTACTACCAAACGCAGTCCAAAAGGCCTTTAAAAATACAGTGGAGACCATTTATTTGTACTAGTCAGCTGTTGACACTATTTGAAACTTTAAATATAAATGGGGAGGCTTTTTGAGAGACAGCCACCAAAACAATTTTTTGAAATGTTCCTGAAACTTAACTTGGGTTTAAAACTTAAAAGGATTGTTATTGTCCTTACAAAGTAGTTGGGAGGAGGTAAACTGTCATTTTATTCTATTTGGAGAATAGAAGTATATTTCTTTCGTTTTCTAAAACAATAAGGCAAATGATGAATTTTTATAATTTTAATTTGAATATTGAATAAATATTTTTCATAAAGATTGTTTTGAGTGCTAATTTGTTTATCTTTTGTAGAGTTGCTTTATAAATGATATTATTCTATATAGCTTTGTCATTTCTTTGTAATATTTAAAACTATTAAAGGGGTAAATTAGCAAAGTAGTACTAATACTGTAAAAATAGTTTGTACAGTTTGTAGCCAAGTGAAATATTTGGTATTGTTTCATTTATAATTTGGTAAAGGAAAATGGAAACACCTTTAGTAAGTTTTCAATTCATATTCACTAAAGAGATAGATGTTTCTAATATGTGCATGTATATATTTATGGTGTTATACCACAACTAAAAGTTTCTATCAAAACAAATTTGGAAATATAAGAGAAACAGCTACATTTTTACTGAATGTGTGCATGCAAAAATAACAGCATTCCACCGCTGGGCTTGGGATTTTCTTTAGTTTGCTGTTTTGATGAATTCCTATCCTCTTAAAGTTCTGACTCTGACAAAGCCATACATCTTCACATTTGCTAAAGTGCATGCTATTATGGGTAAGTTAAAAGATGGCAGAAGAATGAAAGTAATGCATAAGAATTCTTTGAGCCTTTTACTTTACACAGTCCTGCAGCAGTTCTAAGGTTCTTGCAGAGGAATGAGTGTGTTCCTGATCGCACGGCAGCCGTGCTGGGTAGAGTGCGTGGTCCTCGGCATTGTGTGTGGACTGGGAGGCTCTGCCAGCAGAGCCATCTATAACCCCAGCCTCACTTGTCTCTGAAAGACTGGAGAATGTTTCAGATTTAGAAAATGGATGTCTTTCTTTGTAACATTCATACTGATAATTTTTTTTGACATTTTTGAGTTTAACAGATTGTATTTCTTTCTTTAAATTTCTATATTTGCTTAAGCAATCTTGATTTGAGTAAGGGTCTTGATTTGTGCTATTATGTTCTGTTAGTTTTGGCATGAATATACTAAAGCTTTTTTTCCAGCATGTGTTTTCTCCTCTTTGGTTCTCTTTGTATTTACTACTTTTCTCTTTTTCTTCTGTTTTTTTTTTTTTTTTTTTTCTTTTTTTTTCCTGTTGTTTTTGTTTTGTTTTGGTGTTTTGTTCCTGTCTTCATTGTTTCAGGTATTTCTTTCCCCCTCTGGACTCCCCACGGGCTGGATCGCGATGGTCCAGTTATGCCCAGCTCCTTCCTCCTCCTCCTCCTCTGCTAGAGCACTCTTGCGATGCTGACACTGCCAGCCTCCAGTATCCTCACCCTCGCAGACGATACCTCTCTCGGCCTCTTAATCCCTTACCTGAGAACGAAGGGGTTTAAAACACCTATCTGACACCTAAAGGCCTTATGCAATGCTTGTAAATGCTTCATTCCTGGCTGCTTTTTGTTCTTCTTCATTTTCTTTCAGAAGACTTTTTATTTAGGGTCTGTCTTGCATGTATTACAAGCAGAAAGTGTTTGGATCCTAAACTTGTTTCTGCGTCTGCATCAAAGGAACATTGGCTTCCCTGGTTGCTAACCTTTGATGAGAGGAGATGCATACAAGGGACATTTAATGTGAAAGTTGCACAGTAGCTGACTTCAGAGTGCCTGTTGTGTAAATTTCATTTTGCGCTGTTACCATAGTCTTAAGTTTCTTCTGCTTCCTTACATTGGTTAATGTGAAAACATATCATGGAGTTCACTCTGCCTTCTAGACACAGAAGTGTTTTTACTTTTTACAGGTGATTGTTGCAAGTGACTGGTATGTAAGATCATTCCTGTGTATAAAGCAGCAAAACATAATATGGATATTTTTGTCTTTTTTTAATTAAAGGAAATTGCCTTTCACTACGAGGAATGACTGTTTAAAGCTTTTGTAATTACTGTCCAAGTAGGTTAATAATAAAATACATTTTAAAAATTACGAATCTGTTGCTTTGTAAAAGTAGAATTATTTTAAAATAGCTGGTAAGGCTTCTTCTACCATGTCGCAAAAAGAAAAAGCCCAGATATATTTGGAGCAAGCGGTTACTTTTTGGTATGTCTGTGTGGGTGTGTGCCTGTGTGTGATACTGAGGATTGAACTGGGGAACTCTACCACTAAGGTGTCTCCTGCCCTTTTCATTTTGAGACAGGGTCTTGAGACTTGCCAGTCTGGTCTCAACTTGAGATCCTTCACCTCACAAGTATGTAGGAACTACAGGTGTGTGCCAGCGCACTTGATGCATTATGTGTAAAAGATGGGAAGCTAAATATGAATTAACATCTAGAACTGATACTGAATTGAATCTCTTAGTCCAACAGTAGAATAATTATTTTCCAAAATATTTTAAAGTTAGAAGTTAGAATATACTTGATACTATGGTAAAATTGTTAAAACTGTGGGGCACTAGTATTTTTCATTCTGTTTTGTTAGGAATTTCAAGGATTTAGCTGTTAGGGCCATGACAACATTTTGAAAGCATTTCATGTTAATCACAGAGGACACATAATTGTCATAACCACATACATGCTAATTTTCGTAGATACTTTTCCTTAAGTAGTGCCTTACTCCCAGAGCTGCTCAACATGCAAAGAATAGAAAGCATATTAATTTAAGGAATATTTGAATTTTGTTGTGTTTAATCTTTAAGCTGTTTTGTCTATAAGGTTAGCATTTAAATGTAAAACAAATCCTTTCCAAATCTCAGGAGCCTTTTGTTAAAGGATTTGGAGATTCATGTTAGATCTAACTTAAGGATGACTATATTCTCAATTAACAGTTAATGTCTTTATAACAGACCATCTGCAAGATACTTCTCTGGACACTGGTGTGTAATTACAGTAGTCAATCGGCGCACATTTATCTAGTGGGAGAAGGCATTTCCAAGTTTACAAAAGATAACAGGAACTCCATAGGAAAGGTAGAAGCTATAGTAAGCTTAAAAGCCACTGACGAATCTGAGCTGGCAGGATTTGGAAGGGATGTGGGATTTCACAGTTGGAGTAAATGAGGTGGAGGAAGGTAAGGGAGGATAGGGTTGTATTCCAGGAACAGGATGAGAATCTGAAAGAGTAGGGTAAATGGAGGGAATCAGTGGCTGCTGATGTGGATCATGCCCTCTGGCCATGAGGTGGGAAGCCCTAGATGCTGGTGGCTGAGGTGTGGTATGCAGAACACTTGGTAAGGGGAGGCTGCGGGAGATGGCTGGCTCTGAGTTGGGTGGGTGTCACTTCTAATTCACTGGACGCACCCCGGCTGTGGGGTTCTGCTGGCTCTATTCAGTGTCAGATTTGGAAATCGCAGTGGCAGTTCTTCCTTTCCATTTGGCAAGGAAAGATACTGAAGTGTAAGATAATAGCTAATATTTGAGTATTTTATGAGCCAGTGCCTTTTAGATAGATACCTTACATGTATTAAGGTATGCTAATTACATGCTAAGATCCTCATAACAAACCATGGAGGAGGCAGATGCTCTTGCTGTCCCTGTTTTACGGATGAGGAAGCTGGTGGCTTAGTGCTGTTGCCCAAGGCTGCATAGCATGAGGAAGAGGGAGCCAGGACCCAGACTTAAGACAGCCTGGCCCCCAGTGCGGGCTTCTGCCTCGATCTCTGTCCGTAGAGGACCTGCCAGGTTCCCCAGTGTTGTTGGGAAGAGCTCTGGTGATCTGAGGTAACGTATGGAGGAAGGACGAAGTTCACTGTGAATGTGCTAGGGAGACATGAAAGAAAGACCTCGGGGAGGCGCTGACTAAAAATCGTAGGCAAGTCCAGCTTGGTGGGTATGGCTTTTAGGATCGCATACAGAGGCACAAAGCCTAATGGGAAAATGCCAGAGTTGTTACCCTACCCCTTACCGAGCTTCTGTTTTTATAGGGCTTATATGGGGCTCTAAGTTATACAGCAAAGACAGGAAGCAGAAGCTGTGGGAGGAATGGTGTGTCCATATGTGCTTGTTCCCATCCTGTGAGGAGTTCTGGTTTCAGCAGTAGTGTGTGGCCCTCCTCTGCCAGTCTGGCACACAGCTTCAGCACCTGGTGAGGGTGCCACAGGATAACTGCAAGCGAATGGTGGCCCACTACCAAAGGACGTTACCTTGGCTAGAGCTCAGTGTTACTGACACATCTCAGAAGGTGCCCCCCATAGGAGGCGGGGGCATCAATGTGGCCCAGGCAGGGGCTGTGGCCTTTCTATCTAGATGCCTCCCCACCAAAGCCTTGTGGTCACAGGTGGGCTGCTGGAAGGTGACTGGAGCACTGGGTTTATAACTGACTTGTTAGGAGGTGGGGTCTGGTTGGAAGAGACGGACTGACCTGGAAGGATGCATCTGCCTCCCTGGTTCCACCCTTCACTGTTCCTGGGTGCTATGAGGTGAGCAGCTTTTCCTCCACTAGGCTCCTCTGCCATACTGCCCTGCCTTGGAGCCAGGACACTCATAGTCTTGTGGAACCTTGAAACTAAGCCGAATTAAACCACCTCGTAAGTTGTGGGTGTCGAGTATTTTGTCTGAGTAACAAAGACAGTGACAAACTTTTGAGGATGTGTCAGAGGCACAGGCTGATTTACTAAGCAGAATTACAAAGGGAAAATAGGGAAGGGGCTTCAGCCTGAGGAACTGAAGGGGACACAGCTCTGACGGAGATGAGATTAGTCTGCCAACAAATGGACAGCTTTTAAGTTGTTGGGATAGGCGAGGGCCTGGTCGATCATTACTTCTGTTCTGATTTTGCAGGGTGGCTCAGACGTCTTAGGTGACTGTTTCTGCTGGAGACAGTCCTGGGTTTTTGGAGGCTCTGCTGGAATTGAAGGTGAACTTAGGTTTAGGGCAATGACTGGAGACATCTGGGTGTGCTCACTGGTAACAGTGTCCCTGTAAATCTCTTGGTGTCAGTCTTGAGGGATGAAGATAGATTTTGTAAATTAAGGGTCAGTCAACCTCGCATTGCCAGTTTTTAGAAAGACTCTCCCTAAGTTTTGTTGTTTTTTTTTTCCCGGTACCGGGAATCGAACTCATGACCTTACGCTTGCCAGGCAGGCGCTGTGCCACTGAGCTAAATCCCCAGCCCCTCTCCCTAAGGTATTAAGATGCCTATGTCCGGAGTAGGGACCTGACCCAAAGTTTTAAGGTAATAAACATACAAATTGAAGGTCAGGCTTTGTTCTGCTTTAGTTATTTGTTGGGCATTGTAGGCCCAAGTGAAGTCACTATTTTTAGCAGTGGTTAGTCCCCGACTACCTCAGAAAACACAAAGCAAGCTTTCAGTAACAGGTTAGGGGCCCGGAGTGCGCTTCGTCCTGACGGGGTCCCTGTCTCATAAGCCTCCCCACAGACACTTCCTGAGTTGCTGGCAGGGTTTCGGGGTGAATGGCAGCCTCCCAGGTAGACATTTCAGCCGTTCATCTCCGATTTACGGCCCTCTCCGTGGACATCTTCAGGGGGTTTGGAGGTGAGCTGCCTTTCCGAACTCGGGGAGCAGGGGTGGCGGGAGCTCGGAAGGGCACCCTCGTGTGGCCGCTGGGTGAGGCGGGAGCTCGCGCGCCGCGGAAGGGGAACGGCCGGTGCTGGACGGCGGCCGGCACGGTCCCCGCTGTTCCGACGGTAACGTGCGGGTGCGTGTGCCCGCGGAAGCGTCCCTGAGGGTGGCCAGCGGGCGGCGCGCCTGCGAGGTGTCGGACATCCCGGCGCCTGCGGGCGCGCGCTCAGACTTCAAACCCAACTCGCGCTGTCCCCGCCAATCGGCGGCCCCAGCGCGCGCTGCCCTTCACGCTGCCCAATCGGAGGGCCACACCGAGGCTCCGTTCCACAGCCCCACCCCTCTCTCGTGCCGCGAACGGTCGTAAACCTCAGGGGCGTGCGGTACGGCTGGCCGGAAAGGCGCAGTGTGGGCGGTTCGCGCAGGCGCACTCGGGTACGCGCGCCTTTCTGCGAGTTTCTACCTGCTCCGCTGCGGTAGCGCGGGTCTCAGGGTGACCCTGAGCGGGTGAGGGTCCAGGCGCCCTGGTCGCGTAGGCCTGCGCTCCCGCCCCACTCCGCTTCTCGGCCCTCGCCCGATGCCTGCTGGCCCTGAGGGACTGGCACTTGGCTCCGGGGTTCTGGCTGGTGGCGGTGGCTGCACGCTGTCCGTTTTTCGAGGCTTGCTTTTTTTTTGTCTTTTTGAGACAGGGTCTCCCTATGCAGTTCAGGCCCTGCCTTGAGCTCACTTTGTAGCCCAGGCTGGTCTCGAACTCGTAACGATCCTCCTGCCTCAGCCTCCCGAGTACTGGGATTACAGGCGTGCACCCACGCCCGACTGTCCTCGCTTTTTTGTCTAAAACGGACCCGGGGTAACGGGTTAACTTAACGCTGCGGGGTCTGTCGTGTTACCCCTTTTCGCTCGGTTTCTGCTACTGCCTTAGCCTTTATTCTCAACACCTTACTTACCCGTACGAGTTCCTTATGAACAGTCCGCAAAAGCAGAAAGAAAGGTTTAGTCACTCCACTTCGCTTTGCTTTTGATTTCAGACTTTGTTTCCTAAAACATGAGGTCCTTTTCCACACGCTGGTTTGGAGGACAGCTGTTGCTGTGACAATATTCCCATTTACGGCTATTTTGAGGTCTTTGTTCTGCCATTTTCACTGCTTCAAAATCAGCCTTTTTGCCAAGTTTCAGTTCTGTGGGCAAACTTTACGGTAAGTCTACCCAAATGCCTACTTCGGTCTGAAGTACGTTTTAAAGTGCCAAGAGTAAATGGTGAGTATTGGGAGATCTGATTAGGTTTTGGGACCGCAGTATGTACTTTAAATATCTCATTGTACTCATAGACCTACGTTTAAAAGTGACAGAAAAGTAGCCTTCATGTACCAGAAATGTTATTAGAGTAAATATTGGTAAAACTGTATGTGAAATTTGACTTCATTACTTTAAATAAAATAGCAAGAGGAATTGAAAAAATGGCTATTTGGTTCCAATATTGTATAAGAGAAGATAGAAGTGTTCTTTATCTTCACTTTAGATGGTGCAGGAAGGCAGGGGGTGGGGAATCTGATACAGAGGGATGTTAGAGATTTTCCTTTTTAGGAAAAGCTTAGGAATGTGGTTTATCTGTGATGGTGTAGAACAGTGTAATCCTTTCTGAAAACAAGTGGAACCAGGTACTAGATCGCATATTGAGAAAGCTTCTAATGGATCGTGTTACCTTTGCACACATAGTAGTAACCCTAAGTGCATCCTTTGATAGACTGTCAGCTCCCTGAGGGACTGCCTTATTTAATTTTTCATTTCTAGTACTAAGTAGAAGGATACCATTATGTTGCATGAATGATCTTTTAATGACATCTAAGTTATTTTGGATTTGACCCTTTCTGAAAGGTGATCACTGTTGAAGAATTCAGTGTATATTTTAATGTGGTTTATATGTCTGTAAAAGAAGGAAGAATTTTGTAATTACAAGGCTAGACTTGGGCAGACTAGTTGGAAGACTTGTTTGGTAGTTTTGATTAAAAAGTGCTGGGCTGCAGACATTGAGCATACAGTGGGTCTTAGTTCCAGAGGTAAAGTTGAAGTTAGGTGCATTAGAAATTGCTGATTAAGAGAGCGAGGGAGATGAGAGTGGTTCTCATGTCCAGCTTACAGAGCCAGTGAAGTAGGGATGTTGTGGTTCAAGACTCACGGTAACAGGAAGAGCAGGTGAAGGAAAGGTGACAGGTTTGGCTTTGTGTTTGTTGATTTGCACTACCTGAGAGGCATTCATAGGTGAGGTGGAAATAGAGGTCTAGAACTCAGATGTCTGGGCAGGAGGTGGTATTGATACACAGGAAAGAATATTCTGGGGCCAGACTTGCCAAATAAGAAACCCCCTGCGCCCACTTACCCTGTGTGCCCTGTGTGACCCCAGAATCTCTTGATTCTCCTTGGGCTGGCTTCCTGGAATAGTAGGGTAACAGCTAATTTGATGTAAGGATTAGAAAAAATGTAGATGAAATAATACATGACTCTTGATAATAGGATAGACACAAAGTATCAGCAAGTTAGCTAGGGTTATAGGTTATTTCTTTCAACACATGTTCCCAGCTTCCTAACAGGTCCTAGAAATGTATGGTGAACAAGATAGACATTTGCCCAGGAAACTGACCAGAAAGGGGGTAAAGTCAAAGTTGAGGCCACTTACCGAGAAGGTTGTCAGTCCTTTTTTTATTTCACAGAATAAAAATACCTGTTATGTGCTAAGCATTATCTTAGGCTTTGGAACCAGTGATGGGCAGATAGACAAGGCCTTTGCTCTTCTTTTTGAGACACTGTGTCGCCGTGTGGTTCAGGCTGGCTGTGAACTCACTGTGTAGCTCCTCATAGTGAAGGGCCTTGAACTTGTGATTCTCTTGCCTCAGCCTCCCAGGTGCTAGGATTACAGGCATGTGCTGCCACTCCTGGTTTTGGCCCTTTCTTTTAGAGGGCAGTTGTTTTGGTGGGAGAAGACAGACAGGTACAAAATGAATAGTGGTAAGTGCTGGAGGAAATTCGAATGGGTGTGATAGATAGCGAGACCACTGTGTGGACTTGTGAGAGACAGTTGAACTTGATGAGAGATGGCTTCACCTAGATGCGGAAAGGCAGAAAGAAGCAAAGCCCTTGGAGAAGACTCCTAGGCCGTGAGGTGGTTCAGGATTGGGAGGGCTGCAGGGACAAACCCCGTCGGTGGTGAGAGGGGAGGTTGGAGGGGTGACAGGGCCTCCCCAGGTTGCATCGGGCACCGTGCCTGACTCCTAGTGCACAGTGCCTTTGGTTCCTGGGTGGCCGGAGAGAAGTGTGGAGACGGGGCTCTCAGGCAGGGAGGGTGTAGTTATGGGCTTCAGGGTGTGTTTTGCACATGGGTTTTGCCCTCAGGAGTCCACTACACCAGTGGATGTGCTTTGCCTGGCAAGTGTTTTGGCTGTGCTTAATTGTCTGCAGGCCTATAATTTCCAGCTGACTTACTGTCCTGTGTTCTTGCGCCTGAAGGTGTTTGAGTTGCAACCTGTAGGGTGCACGATGTAAGCTGCGTGACTTAGAGTTGAGGTCAGAATCCTGGATAAGCCTGGTGAGGAGGAGCAGACAGAGAGGGGCACCAGGTGCGATGTGGAAAAAGTAGTTGTGGGAGTGTGCGTCGTTCTCCTGGACCCTGGGCTGTGAGGGAGGACCAGAAGGTGGTGGCAAGAACGCAGGGGACCAATAGGCCAGGTTGTTTTCTGGCTTCTCCATCCTTCTGTGGGAACCTTTTGAGCGTGTTCACGAGATCCATAAGGGAGGCTCGTGAGAAATGTGGAAGAGTGGAATGCCTGAGAGGAGGTGCTCATTGACTTAACGCTGGTGATGATTTGTTGTGTGCTGACGGAGTTTGAAAACATCTGCCCATCCTTCCCCCGGCAGACGCGTCAAGGGCTCCTCTGTACTAGCACTGCTCAGGGGTGCAGTGGTAAGTTACCAAACAGGCGGAGCTTATATTGGGGAACAGATGAAGAGGTGAGCACCCGGCTGCTGAGGGGTGGTCAGTGCTGCTGAGGCCGGGCGGGGAGGTTGGGGGCCCCGTGTGGAGCTCTGGTGACTGCAAGCACCAGGGTGTGAAAGGGGAGACTGGCAAGGTGAGGCACACCCGGAGCCTCGGGCTGGGCAGAAGTTGAGCCCCGGACAGAGCCTGCCTGACGCTTCTGAGTGACAGCAGTGGCTGGCATGGTCGGTGGGATGGTGGGAGAAGACTGGGTCGCGGACCCCGCCACCCTGGGCCATCAGACAGGCACTTATACCACTGAGCTGTATCCCCAGCCCCTCCCTGCGCCATCAGGCCTGGCTCTCACTGAGTGCTGTGGGGAAGCCAGTGGTGCAGGGTGGGTGTGAGCAAGGTCGATGGATCCAGATCTGCTTCCCTGAGGCCAGAGGCAGCGTGGCAGGAGGCGGCACCCGCAGCTCTGAGGCCTGGCGGTTTCAGATGCTCCTTAAAGCGTAGCCTTCAGGGGCCAATGGATGGCTCAGGTGTCAGAGGCTGAGGAGACCAGTGATGGCCCCAGTGTTTGGCCTAAGCAGGTGGAGGTTGGAGTTGTCATTTTCTCTGGTGGAGAAGACGGAAGAGCAGGCTTTCTTGATCAGTGGAAGCAGGTATAGTCAAGGTTTGAGTTTTGTGCGCTGGGTGTAGCAGTGCACATCTGTAGTCCTAGCACACAGGAGGCTGAGCCAGAATAGGTGGGCTGCATAGTGAGTTGAGGCCAGTCCGAACTACATAGTGAGACCCTGTCTCAAAAAAAATGAGTTTTACGTGCCTGTTAGGTGTTTAAGTGAAGATGTCTTGCTGGTAGTTGAGTATCTGAAGTTCAGAGGGAGAATCCCAAGCTATAGCTATAGCTCTCTTACAGTATTTAAAGCTCTGACACTGAAAGTAGTGTGGCCCAGGAGTGAGGGAGGACTAGAACCAGCTCTGAGCCTTCCACTGCGGGAAGGCCCAGGAGATAGAAGGAAAGAAGCAGCTGAGGAGCTGGAAAACTGGCAGCTGCATCTAGAGGTTGAGTAAAGGAATATACATCACATGTGTTCTGTTAGGTTGAGGTAACTTTCTAGGGCCCAGCAGCAGCGAGGGAGGTGTGAGGTGGGCCAGCCCTGTTGCAGTGGGACGGTGGGGTGGAAGCCTGGTAGGGGTGAGCTCAGGAGGACTTAGACAGCTGGCAGTGCACACAGCTTGGGGAGAGGTGCAGGGAAGAATGGCATGTGGAAGAGGGGCCCTGCTAGAGTGAGTGATTGTTGGTGCCTAGAGACAGGGGTTGGGCCAGGTGCAGAGTGGAGAGGTGAGCTTCCGTGAACAATCATTATAGCTCCTTTGTGGTCTGCACTTGCTACGTTACTGAATAATTAAGTTAGTCTGTACTACCAGAAATCTGTTGGAACAGTCTTACTCTTACCAGTCTTACTTTGGGTTGATTGTAGCAGTCCTGATGATAAGACAGTCAGTTCACTGTTGGGTGTCTGTTCTCAGCTGTAAAGCAGCCAGGTATTCTGAGATTTCCGTTACCCCAGCATATTTTCATATAATGTTCTCTCTTAGGGATGCTGCAGGAAAAAATTGTTTCTTATGACTATTAATTTTCTGAGATTATTGAAACCTGCGTTTAACCACTTAAAAAGGTTTTATAGTACTATTTATTTATAAAAATACTTTTGTCAGCCAGGCGTGGTGGCGCACACCTGTAATCCCAGCACTCAGGAGGCTGAGGCAGGAGGATCATTGTGAGCTTGAGGCCAACCTGGGCTCCAAAATGAGCTCAAGGCTAGTCTGAACTACATAGCAAGACCCTGCCTCAAAAAGACAGAAAAGCAAAAATAAAACCCTTTTGTTGTTGCAGTGAGATGGAAGATTTTCGTGGCATAACAGAAGAGTCATTTCCAAGTTTTCTAGCCAATTCGTTACTTGGTAATAGTGGGGTTTTGGAAGATGTCACTCTTTCTTCGAAACTTGGGCTTCCTGTTGCTGTTTCCACTCTTGCGAGGACTAGAGCCAGCACTGATAACAGGTAAGACGCCTGCCTGTGGCCGTGCCCGGCCGGGCTGTGGCTGCAGGGCCGGAGTTGGGCCTGGGAGCGCTGGGCCGTGGTTTGTCTCACTCCGCTTCTCTGTCACTCTGCCTCTCTCACCTCACTGGTTGTACCTGCTTTCTTGTTCCATGTTTCAGAAGATGGTAGCACAGACCTGGAAAAGACTCTGAGTCCATTTGTAGCTACACGGGAGGCTCATGAACTGTCTCCTAAGGTGGACCTCCTGGTTGCTCCTAAGGCCAGTCCCGTGGTTGTGGCGTGGGGCCCCGTGTGTTTAGAGCTGTGCTGGGGCTGCTTTGTGCTTCCTTTTCAGCCCAGGTCTCGCTGCCCTGGGCAGGTGTGGCTCTCCTCCTCCTCCTCCTCCTGCCTCCCACCTGTCCATGCTCCTGAACCGACCCAGCCCTTCTCTGGTAACCCTGAGTTCCCCCAGTCAGGTTTCTCTTTCTTAGGGACTAAACCAGCATTTATTTTCTTAACTGTTCTTACTCTGGTTTTATAACCAGGTAGATGAGTTACATGGACCATATTTTCACACTCCAAATGTAATGTGTCCAGTTCACACAGCCTTGCGGGTAGTTCAGTACCTGCCCCTCCTCACCTGCTTCCTCCCCAGCCACACGGTCACCTGTGGCCTGAAGAGGCTGCTCATCCTTCCAGCTTTAAGATGTCTGGCAATGTGGATGCAGATCGTCGCTCTGGTGCCGTCCAGTTTTCGGTGCTTTGCACAGAAGGTGGTGGCTTTGAACACTGGGTGTGCTATTTGTCCTGTTTCCCTGGTGGTTGGTGAATTTTAAACATGATTTAATTCTTAATAATTTTGTGCAGGTGTCCTGATGTCCAGGCCTCCTACTTAGAGGGGAGGTTTTCAGCTCCATCCGAGTTGTCTCCCAGTTGCTGCAGTGACCCTGAAGCCCGGGAGAGGCTGCAGCTCAGCTTCCAGGACGAGGAGTAAGTCTGCGCTGTCCTCGGCTGTGTGGAGTGCAGAGTGAGGTTGTGTGTCTGATCACTTCTAGGCATCTTGGGCTTCTTCAGACATTCTAATCACATTTTGAGCCCTTTAAAACATTTTTTTTTTCTAATTCTAAAAGTAACATATGCTCATTGAAAGAAGCAGAAAACAAAATTATTAGGACGACAGGAAAGCCCTGTGACCCCACTAACTGAAGGGTACTGTTAAAGTTTCTCTTATCAACTTTCTGTGTGCAGACATGTATTTGTGTTTTTTACATGATAGGATTACACTTACGTTTGTTTACTTACGTTGCTTCTTCCCTTTTATTATGTATTTAGAACTGTTAAAAGTTAATACGTTGTGTTCGTTTTTCAGTTACAACTGATGTAAATCTGTCACTGTGTTAATGGCTCTAAGTCCATGTTTGGCATTTAGATTATACAATTCTGCTATCTTAAATGTAATAAACTTTTTATTTCTTTGTGTTACTGGGCATTGAACCAAGGGACTCACACTTGCTAGGCAAGTGTTCCGCCACTGAACTATATCCCTAGCCCTTTTTGTTTTTTTATGTTAAGATGGGATCTCACTAAGTTCCCCAGGCTGGCCTTGAACTTGTGGTCCTCCTGAGTAGCTGCGATTACAAGCATGTACCACCATATCCAGCTTGAACTAACTTTCTTTCTTTCTTTCTTTTGTCATTTGTTTTCTTCTTTGTCTTTTTGAGACAAGGTCTTGCTATGCAGTTCAGGCTCGCCTTGAGCTCACTTTGTAGACCACGCTGGTCTCTGAACTCCCAGCAATCCTCCTGCCTCAGCCTCCCGGGTGCTGGGATTATAGGCGTATGCTGCCATGCCTGGCTATCTTTTCTTTGAGACAGGATTTCACTGTACATTTCAGGCTGGCCTCGAACTCACAGTGATCCTCCTGCCTCAGCCTCCTGAGTGCTGGGATTACAGGCGTGCACCATCACACCTGGCTTTTGTTTGTATTTTTGAGACAGGGTTTCACTATGTAGTTTAGGCTGGCCTTGAACTCACTGTGTAGCCCAAGCTGGCCTCAAACTCACAGCAATCCTCCTGCCTCAGCCTCCCAAGTGCTGGGATTACAGGCGTGTGCCACCACATCAGCCGTATTTTTAAAATTTTTATTAGAGCATTAATTTAAAATTTTTATTAGTACATGTTTATAGTACATCATGATAGCATTCATTGTGGAGAATTGGTACATGTACATAATATGTTTTAATTGTCTCCCCCCTCCCCCATCTTTTGTTAAAAATATTTCTTTTTTTTTCTTTTGGTCTTTTTGAGACACAGTCTCGCCATGCAGTTCAGGCTGGTCTTGAACTCACTTTGTAGCCCAGGCTGGCCTCAAACTTGCAATGAACCTCTTGCCTCAGCCTCCCAAGTGTTGGGATTATAGGCGTGCACCACCACGCCTGGCAGAAAAAATATTTTATTTTAAAGACCATTACAAATCCACCCAAGCCAGGTGTGGTAGCGCACACCTGTAATCTCCGCACTCGGGAAGCTGCGGCAGGAGGATCACTGTGAGTTCCTTCTTGGTGGTGGTGTTACAGACCCTCTGGTTTTCTGTGTTGAAATTCACCTTTGAGTGTTGGTGGGATCTGCGCACTGCGGTGTTTCTTCCTGCTGAGCCTTGCGTTGCGAATGGCCGTGACGGCCTTGATAGTGAAGAGACCAGTGTTGCGTGCTCTTCTGCCCGAGTGCCTGCTGGGTGCCGGGCACTTTCAGATGCTCAGGAAAACTACGTGCAAAACGTGTTAAACAGAAATTGCTAAAATGTGCCCATCTCAAGCCAGGCTTGGTGGCACAAGCTGTAATTCCCTCACTCGGGAGGCTGAGGCAGGAGATCTGGATCTGCGTCCACGGCAAGAACTTAGCCCTCAGAAACACCAACTTCAGTGTGTGTTGAAGGGAAAAGTGCTGGGAGAAAATAGGTGATGCTGAGGTGCTTTCGGGAGGCCGACAGCGGTGCTCGGTGTGGGTCTCCTGCAGAGGAGCTAAAGAGAGCCAGGGTCTGGTGAGGCGGCAGCTTCAGGCCTTGGGGAAGAGGGTTGTGGGCAGGGTGCAGCCACGTGCAGGCCGGGTGGAGCACACTGCAGTCTCAGAACGGACCCTCACCCAACTCGGAGTGATGGGGTGCCATGGAGGGTCTTGTCCACGTGTTGTGGGAAGAGGCCCACTGCGTGCGCTTCGGTAACAGACAGGGCGAGGGTGGGACAGAGACCGCCAGGGCAGCAAGGCACTCGAGAGCGCGGGGGATGGGGGCAAAGAGCTCGAGGTGTGAATTTGGTGCTCAGGTCTCCAGGAGTTGGGATGGGAGGAGCGGACAGAGACTGAGTTAGTGAGCAGAGACAGGAGGAAGTGTTCTAGAAGCCACGGCCCAAGTGTGTCGCTGGGTGAGGAAGTGCACAGCTGTGTTCCAGCTGCTTGAGGGGCTGTGGTGGGAGGAGCCCGTCAGCCCGGGAGTTTGAGAACCAGCCTGCGGCGTGGGGAAACCCCATCTGCCAACAAGACAAAACAAGCAAGCAAATAAAGTCATGTTTACAGAAGAGGCTGTCCAGCTCCGCTGAGTAAAACGGGGGTCAAGAACGGGCCCCAGTGCGTAGCTTTGGTGGCGGTGGGGAGAGACGCGGCCTGCTGAGTGAGCATGGGAGCTGCAGGTGCCCGCTGGAGGTGGCAGGCAGCCCCTGGAGCGGGGCGGGCTGTGATGCTGGCGGGTGCCATGGTCAGACCTTTTACTGCTGGGGTGATTATACTGCGTGCCCATGAGGTAATGGGAGTGATCTGGAAAGAGGAAGCTCAGTTCTGAGAGAGAAAGCGTTGCTGGGGCAGGGTGCGCAGCCTGGAGAGGAAGGCTCAGAGGGTGGCGGGGCAGCCTCGGCTGGGCAGGACCAGGACAGTGCCTGCTTGCACCGGGGACGCCGCCTCCTCCTCTGCCTCCTCAGTGCCTCAGGTGGGGCGTGGGCTGTGACCCGGAACTGTGGCTGCCAAGTTGGGGAGGGGGGAGAGGGGGTGGTTTAAAAAGAGAAAAAACAACTTAGGGGCGTATGGGACAGTGAAGGACAAAGGGACATGGGCCCTCCTTGAGATCACGTTGTTAGTTTAACCTGGGAGCATTTGGTATGATTGTGGTATTTCAAGCAGCTGCATCTCTGGCCGTGCAGGTGAGGAGGGGTGGAGAGCGGACTTGCCTGGGCTGTGGTTTGATGGGCAGTGGGGGATGAGGAGGTGAGGCTGTGTGATTGGTCTGGCTGGGGTGGGGGTCTGCGGAGCCGAAGGTTGAGGAGAGTGGGTGTGGTGCTGTGGATGTTGGTGGCCTGGCCAGTCAAGCTCACAGCTGTGGTTCTAGAGGCAGATCCTGCTCTGGACAGCAAGTGGCCCAGGGCGGCAAGGCTCAGCAGGGGCTTCACGTGGCGATGAGGAGCGAGGTTTGGGTTATATCCCCACAAGCAGCGACAAGCACCAGGCTGGAAGCAGTGGCCTCACAGGGTGCTGAGGTTTCTGTGACCGCCCTGGAGCGGGAGGCGCTCAGACGAGGCTCAGGAGCAATGGCCCGCTGTGTCAGGCACGTGCGGGCAAGAGGAGTTGCAGCTTTCCTTTTTTCTGCATACGCTGTTGGCTTTTCAGGTTCCAGAACCTGGGGTAGGTGTGGGTTGGGGCCGCTGGCCTGTGGGTGGTTTGCTGTATCTTTATAGACTGCCTTTTTTATTTTTTTTTTGGTTTTTCTCCGGTACCGGGAACCGAACTCACGACTTTGCGCTTGCCAGGCAGGCGCTTTTGCCTCTGAGCTAAATCCCCAGCCCCTTAGACTGCCTTTTATAGAGCAGCTTTGATGGTACCCTGGAAGTTGTTCTTGTTACTTTGACTTGAGGCTCATGACTTCTCTCAGAAAGTTTCTGTGTACTCACAAGTGAAGGAGAGCTGTACTAGTTCTGAGGGGTAGTGAATTTAGAATGTTCTATCTGTCACTGTCTCCACTGCTAGGTTGTAGTGGTTGGCTGGTCGTACTGTATGCTTTTCTCAGGGCAGGAGAACTTGGGAATTAAGCTCAGTGTCCTGACTTATTCTTCATTTATCCCGTGTCTCCATCTTGCCTCCTGCGCGCTCTTCTGCCACACGTGACTTAGTGTCCATTTGTAGTCATCCCGCCTACCCCTGCCGTCTTTGCCTAGAGTGAAATGTTCCTTACTTACCCGTGGTGCCACTCCTGCCCCACTCTCCTCCCCGTGAGTTGCTGTGGACCAGGAGCCTACAGGAGTGGGAGGAAGTGTCCTTAGGTTCTGATTGGACCCAGAATTATTTCTTCCCACAGTGTCCATCTTTTTGCTTTTTGAGGACAGGTTTATTTTGTTTGTTTTTTGGTACCAAGAATTGAACTCGGGACCTTGCGCTTGTGTTATGGTTTGTGCCTGGGTGTCCCCCCAAAGCCTCATGCAGCCATGGGGCAGGCTTTTAGAGTTTGATTAATTATGGGTGTGAGAGCTACACCCGCCCTGGGGTGGATAGTTTGCATATGTAAGGGAGAGGAAGAAGCTGCTTGCCGCCATTCCTCCCATGTGTGTGCTTGTTGATTCGGCTGAGTTCTGCCACCATGTGCCTTCTGCCATGTGCCACTCTGCCTTATAACCTGCCAAGTATGGACTGAATCCTCCACAAACTGTAAGCGAAATAAACCTTTCCTTCCTTAATTTTGGGCGTCAAGTATTTTGTCCCAGCAACGGGAGAAAAGTAACCAAGACAGCTTGCCAGGCAGGTGCTTATACCACTGAGCTATATCCCTGGCCCTCTTTTTGCTTTTTGAATGATGAAATATATAACTAGCTAGTAGATATTTTATAAACTTACCCCAGGTAAGCAACATTTTGTCACTAATCTGTTCGCTAATAAAAAACTCTCTCTAGAAAAAAGAGCAATACAGCAAGTCCACATCCGTCCCATGCTGTCTTGAAGCTGTTGTCTCTTCAGAGTGAAGGACCAGGAGCAGAAGAGCAGCCCGCTGACACTGCAGTCGTCTGCTGGCCTCCGGCCCCTGTAGGCAGAGCTTCAGCTCCAAAGCGAGCACCAGGTCCTGACCTACTCAGACTCATTTCTGATGCATGTGTTGTCATTTCCTGTTCTGTGGACCAGTATTCATCTTTTGCCGTCATGTAGCGATCTGAGAATGTTCTGCTTGGCGTGTACCTGATACTGTCATACTCAGGGCACTTATGGGAAAGGGTCTCTTCGGGCCCTCACCAGGCTGTGCTGCCACGGCTGAGGTCGCCCTTCCTTTGGAAACCGTGTGGCCGCCAGGTGGCCCGTGTGCTGATGTTTGTGGCGAGGAGCTGGCACGGCTACGCCTTTCACTTTCCTCCCACAGATGCATCTGTGTTCCTCTTGAGTCTTGTTTGTTCCTTATTTTTATGTAACTTATTGAATTATAAATTCAATATAGATGCATATATATAACATATATATAACATATAACTTACATATATATAACTATATATAACAATATAGTTACATATATATAACTCAGTATATATAACTTAATGAATTACTTTTATGTAACTCATGAATTATAAATTGTCAAAGAATTTACTATCTTTTAAGAAACTAAGTTGAGTATTTCAGAACTACTCCAAAGTGAATCATTTGAAATGTTTTTGTTTTTGTTTTTTTGGTCTGGGAATTGAACTCATGACCTCAAACTTGCCAGGCAAATGCTTATGCCACTGAGCTATATTCCCCAGCCCCAAAGTGAATCATTTGAACAATTGCTGTCAAAATTAGACGTGGTAGTTTGAGGGGAGAGAGTTGACAAAAACGTGGGGAAATGTGTGGAGAGAAAATACAGGCATCTACTCTCTGATTCCTTTTAGTACTTTACATTCACTTTCGTTTTTTAAAAGAAGTCAAAAATGGAAATTGAAAACTGCATGCTTTTGACCTATAGCAGTGATAGTGTGTGACTCCAGCCTGTAGCGCCATGCTCAGAAGGGCATGTTAAGTAAGGAGATAGGTGAAATGAATAGACATTTGTATGCTGCAATTCAAAAGATTTAAGTGATACTTCTGTTTCTTGTAATGAAAAATGCCAAATAGGTACCAAAGTATAGATACCTGTACTGGTATTAGTTTGCCACAAAAAAGCAGTTCAATTGGACTTTATCAAAGTTGAAAACATGCTTCAGAAGGCACCATTGAAAAAATGAAATGATAAAGTATGGGAAAAATAATTTGCAAATATTGAAAATTACATGTTTTTGGTTTATACAGCTATAATATATTATTTAGCATGTAGTTTTCTCGTTGTTTTAAAATTACAGACATCATTGTATTTCTGTATATTTTCGTGTGCATGACCTTAGTGCTGTTAGCGTAGCTGACAGACTGACTTCTTTTCTGTGGTCTAGCGTGGCAGGCCAGTGGGGCGTGCTGCCACGGGGGCCACAGGAAGGTCACATGGTGTTACGGTGCCTTGGGCCCTCTCACAGCAGCCACGCCCTGCGCGTGGACTTGTCTGTCTGCTCCCTTGGGCTGTCAGTGCTCTGCAAATGCAAGTTCTGTGCCATGTGACCTCCATCCTAGCATTTTTAACAACTTAACGGACCAATGATGGGGTCCTGTACCATCATCTGAAAGTATTTCTGTTTCACAATAAAAATGTTCAGTTCCTTAATTTGCTGTTCTTAGGTATGATTGGCTACTTAGCTGATAAAATATTTTCTCAGTTTTTGTGTTCGTTAACAGACCCTTCTGCTGACTTCCATGTAAGATCACGGATGAATAATCAGGAGTACAAGGTAAATGTTTATGTATATGTTACCAGTTTCTAGGTGGTTACAGAGGAGGAAAAGTTCCTATTTCACGTCATACATTGGTTACTATTTGTTGAAAATCTTCTGCTTGTCTATAGCAGAACTCTACTCCTAGCAAAAGTGGGAGTTTTTCTCAGGTCATAAGAAGGCTGAGGGGCGGGACTTGCTTAGCACTGTCCTCAAGTATAAAACTGAACTGAACTCCTCTGTCCAAAAAATTAGTGCATGTTTTGTAATCTGTTGCTCAAGCTGGTCAGAATTGTTTTACTAGATATTTAATATTAGTTTGCAGTAGAATAGACATTTGGTGGGAAGGGCCTCTTCATTCTGGGCGTGAGGGTCCTTGGTGCGTCCACGTGTGCTCTTCTTTGAGTGTAGTGTGGCGTTCAGAGTCAGCACAGTGTAGGTGGAGCAGCACTTGCTCTTCCATAGCCGTGTGCTGTGCTCTGTGGTGGAGCGAATGTGCTGCTTTTACGCTGCCTTTTATTTCTTTTAGATTGTTGAACCTGATGGTCGGAAACTTCCTGAAGACACAATTCCAAACAGTGACTTCAGCCATGTTAGCTTGTTAGAAAACGAGAAACTCATGTCACTGACAAGCTTGGAGGATTCTTCTGGTACGGAGGAGCAACTCCGGTTTTCCTGGCCCTTACCTTACCTCTCCACTTCTTGTCCTGTCCCTGTTGCAGTCGTCCTTAGGCCAGCGTCTGGGTCCCCATTTTCTTCTACCCGCTGGCACTGAGATGGCCACTTCCATGAGTGAAAATTTAAAACACGTGTTTCTATGTATGAACCCTGATTAACTTACACACTGACTCCCAGTTTGACATCATTAAGGTGCAGAGTAGTTGCCTGAAGGTGCCACCCCCTGTGGGAGTGAGGAACTAGTTAGCCTGTGTGAGAGCCCTCAGCCAAGTATAGGCAGGAGGTGCACGCAAAGCTCAGCTGAGGTTGTGTGGCATGTGCTTCGGTGGTGTAGAGCTGTGCTTGGGAATTGTGGGGCTGGTAGGTACTTCTGACCCAGGAGGGCACCTATGAAGCTGTCTGGGCCGAGAATCAGCCGGATTGGCTTTACATCTGTGAGTGAAGTCCTGCTGGGGAAGCAGGAGCAGCTCTAGCAGTGGCCCTGCAGCGGAGCCCAGTGGCCGTGACTGGAGACCAGCCTGGCTGGTTGCATGGCAGTTTTACACACCCACAAGAAGCCCAGAAAAGACACAGTGCCAGGTTGTTGACTGAGGCCAGGCGATGAGCAGAGTGGGATGAAGGCATCCTGTCATTGAGGCACAGGTCTTACTGCCAGCTGAGTTTCCTTATTCTCGGGTTGTGGAATGTGGATACGGAGTTACTGATGTGAACTTAAGAGATCCTTGTTTCAGATCTATCTTCTTCAAGGTGAATTGCTAAGTCAAGTGTTACGAGCATTAATGCTTCCGGTGTAGATTGCAAAATTGATCTCTAAGGGCAGCACCCCTCACGGCCCTGCCTGTGATGGAGACTTCCAGCTTCGTCTTGCCCTTGCTGAGCTCTGAAAATCCCTGCGGTGCTGTCTTTCTCCCTCCTGCTCTGATAGGCTTCTCTGTCCTTTTCACTAGTGCTGACTTCTCACGACACCATTTTCTGAACAGTCTGCTCTTCTCCACTGATTTGTGATGCTGCAGGCACAGTGTGCCAGGGTCTGTCTCCACTCTGCCCTCTAGTGAGGTCGCAGAGTCTATTAAATGCTCCTGACGGACTGCTGTTAGTCTTCCTTCACGACAGAAGCAAAAGCACTCATTCTGTTCATTGACCTATTTATGTTTTATCTGCCTTCTTAAAAATTATATAGGTCAATTCCTACTTTATTTTTTTGAGACAGGGTCTTGCTTTGTAGTGCAGGCTGGACTTGAACTCACTATGCAGCCCAGGTTGGCCTTAAACTCCCAGCAGTCCTGCCTCAGCCTTCTGAGTGCTGGCATTGCAGGTGTGTGCCACCAACCTGGCTGTCATTTCTTTCAGTGACTGAATATCATTCCATTGTCTAGATAGACTACATTTTGTGTATCCGTTTTGCTGGATACTTGGGTTTTTTTTTTTTTTTTTTAACTTTCTGGCTACTGTGAATGGTGCTGGAAAAAACGTGTGTGTATCTTAGTTACTTTCTTTCTGCTGGGGTGAAATAGCATCCATATCTTCGGGAAGAAGAGGCTTATTTTGGCTCAAGTTTTGTAGAGGTTGAGTCAGTGGTTAGCTGGCTCCAGGGCAGAAATGGCATGGTAGAAGGACCTGGGCGGAGGAAGCTATTCACACAGGACATGGCCAATTCTTACATTAAAGCCTAATTTTTCTCCTGATTTTTCCCCACTTATTGGTAGATGATGATATTAATGATGAAGAGTTTTATGATGATCATTTGGAGGCTTATTTTGAACAACTGGCAATTCCAGCAATGATTTATGAAGGCCTAGAAGGACAAGAATCTCTAGAAAAAGATTTTAGGTTACCTGCAAGGGTTCCTAGTCAGGTATGTTCCAATGTTTATGATTATTTTTAGAAATTTGACATTAGAAAATTACTGTTGGTCTTACTGGATGTAAACATTTAAGCCTTTGATTTCTTCAGATTGTTTTTCCCGCTGTGGATGGATAAACAGCATCTGTGTTTTCCTGTGTCTTACTTCGCCCTCACCTGCAAGAAATGAAAAAGAATAGCACAGTGGACTTTATGTCCTTTGTCCACACTAGCATTCTTTGTCCCTCTTTAAGTACTTCCCTCCTGGAATTGTTTGAAAGGAAGTTGCAAACATTTTATGACATTTCTTCTATAAAACAACATTTTTCCTCTTAATCACTGTTCTGTTACCTAGCTTTGATATAGTAGTTTAAATTAACTTACAGGCCATATTTAAAATTTTCAGTTTTCCCCAAAATATTTTTATTTTACTTTTTTATTTTTTATGATTCAGAATTCAAAGATTATATTTGCCTGTGGTGGTCGCATTTATTTATTCCCTTCATTTGGAGTTCTTTCATGACATGAAACATTTTATAAAGTTTAGGCCCTTTGATTTGTAGCATGACACATAATCTGGATAGGTCTGATTAATGTTTTCCTCCTGGCCAGGTTAGATAAACATTTTGGCAAGAATTCAGGACAAACCTTTCTTGTTTGTGGATTTGGCACAGACATAGATGGTGGTGGCCGAGGTGCGTTCAGCGCACTGTTGATGCTTGCAGTAAGGTGGTGTTGGTTAGGCGTCTCCTGGCGCAGGTCCCTGCTCTGAGCTATGTGGGATCATTTGTAGGAGGACCCCCGGCTCTTGTGAGCATCCGTCCCCAGCATTGTTACTTCGGGAAGCCTAGTGGAAACAAGGCAGCCACCCAGGCTGCAGTGCTGATCTTCTCCTGTGTGTCTGTTGCCTGGCAGCCTCAGTGAAGCAGACCTTGTGCCCCTCGTTTCCCTCCGCAGTATGTTCAGTTTTAATTGAAAGGATTAATACAGCTAAGAAAGTCTTTCAACAGGCAAATGAAAACAGCAGCCAACGCTGGAAGTTTCAATCCAGAAGTAACAGCTCTCTGGTTTCCCAGGGCTCATGCTCTTCAGGAAGCTGTGAAAGGACTGAGAGAGAGACTGAAGAAAGTCGCGTTGGCTTGTCAGGAACCAGTAAGTGTTCAGATGTGCTTCCTTTGTTCGTGTGCTCTGTGCTTGCCTTTCTTTTGCTTTTTCTTGTGGTGCCAGGGTTGAACCAGGGAGCATTGCCCTACATCCCCAGTGCTTTTTTGGTTCATTTTTGTTTTTTGAGAGAGGGTCTGGCTAAGATTCCCAGGCTGACCTTGGACTTGCAGTCATCCTACCTCACCTCCTGAGTAACTGGAACAACAAGTGTGCAGCACTGAGCCTGGCTGACTTCACCTCTTTTTCTTAAATTCAGTTGTTTGTTGGTAGGATTTCATACATTAACTGCTTGTCTCCTCAGATCTTTCAGCAGTCTAAAATTTTTCTAAAGAGCTATGAGTAATTCCTGAGTTATATTTGCCTGCTTCGTTAAATTTGCTCTGAATGTTTTTTTTTTTTTTTGTACTTGCTCTTACAAATGAGATTGTTTTCTTTACTTTTAACATAGATTCAGAATTAATTGCTATTAGAAATATTGCAGTAGGTACTTCTTCAATTTAGTGTTATGAATGGTAGTATTCTGTGAAGACACTTGAGAATTAGAAACTAATTTTCTGCATGGTAGCAGTTTGCTGTGTTTATTGCCTTTGGCTGGTACTTCTTTTTTCATTTGCAATTTGCTAAATTTGTCATAGGAATGTTAAATATAAGGTTTACATAAAATAATTGGACTGGAAAAAGCAGTTGTTGCTTTATGCACACTGTGACACTGTTCCATTAACTTTTCCTTGGTTCTCAGGCCAGTGTGTAGGTCCTGGAGATGGCAGAATGCTTGTAGATGGTGTGTTTCCATCTTCCCCAAATACTTGGAGAGTCGAGAAGGGAAGGGCAGACCATACCAAAGTAAGTTTAGATTTATTTTCTTTAAATTTCCTGTGAAAAGGAGAAAGTCTTGTGTTTCTGTATATCCATTTTTTAAAAAAAGAGACAATTATTGTTGACTCCTGAAAAAATAGAAAAAATACAAAAGTCACTACTGATAATGCTTGTGTTTGTATATAAATATTTATTATTGCTAAGATTATATAATTGCATATATTTTCTTTAAACATTTAGTGACTTGGATTTAGATTATTCACTTAAAAATTTCTTTAGCCCAATGTGCAATCGTTAAATAAAGAGAAACTTAGTCATCTTTTACTTTACTCAAATATATATATTTTCCATTATTTTTGTTTCTTCTGCTGATGACACCCCATTTCTCACAGGCTTGAACTGTGGTGGTCGTCTCTGGCTCTGACCAATTGATTATCCTCTCCTTGGCAGTGCTGCATGCCTGAGGGTTATAGGCTGCTTTTTACTCTCTGGAGAAGGAGTGTGTGGCTCCTCGTGGATGAGAGGCAGTCATTTCAGCCTTAGTGTTAACTGCACCTGTGATGCCCTCCTTGTTTCAGAATAATGTCATGGTTTACAGGTGCTTGGGTTAGGACTGGGATGTATCTTCTTGGGGGAAGACACTGAAGTGTCCAAAGATGTTATCTATAAGGAATATAAAACTATTGTCTTTTGTCCTATGCTTCTACATCTAAAACTTTATTTTTATACAGTAGTGTTGGCAAATCACACCTAGCTAATAAATGATGACACTAGGATTTGAATTTGTCTTTCTTACTGCAAAGCCAACATGCTTTCTCTTATATGGAGCTTCCTCCTTTTAGCATTTTAACTTTAGAAGCTGCTGATCAGGCTGTTCTTGTTACTGTGTCTCCTTACAACAGTGAGCACTGTTGTTACAGCTTGTGCTGGCGCTCCCGACCATGGAGACACTGAGTGTGTCCGACCAGCACTGTGGGGAGGCGAGTGTCTCCTGGCAGTGGTTACTGTAGGAAAGAACCACAGGTGCCATTTCAGAGAGGACTGGAGAGCGTGGTTTTGGCACTGGGTTAGTCTGCTCTCTGGTAAAATTGATATTGGCTCCTGAAGAGCATTGATGTTATCTGATATTTTACTCCTATTAAAAGATGTGAATATCTGTCTTTTCACTTTCATTCTTCACAGTTTTATGAAGCTGATGGTGACACTAATGGGCTTAAACAGTCTTACAGAGACTTTATTGGTAACTATAAAAGTGAAATGTATAGTTCTGTCATCCCATAATATAATAGCCAAAGAGAAATCACTTTGTCTTTTAAATCTGTTGATGTGTATGTTTGCTGTGAGCCCATTTTAAAGTTAGATTTTGGTAAATTGTGTAATATTGATTCATATATAAATAGTATAGTAAAATACTAAAGTATAGTAAAATACTGGATGGTCTTTTCTTTCATATCATAAATGTTTTATATCAAGTGCGTTATTTTCCCTATAAAATTTTAAAATGAGTTGTGACAAAACTTCCTGTTTCTCTTTTACTGATTTTTCAAGGAAAGTACAGAAGAGGATGTTCTGGTGCAGAGTCCCCGAGTTACCAGTGAGAAACTTCACCCCATTTACTTCCATGACACCGACAGAGGTGGTTCTGACTCCGCTAACTCTGTGGGACTAGGGGCAGGACCTTCTCAGTTGGCCTCAGATTCTGAAACCGTTTTGCTCAAGGATGGATGCTTAGATGTCGAGGCTCCTGCAGTGCCTGATCAGAAAAGTGTGGTCACAGCATCTTTCAAGAATGCTTGTGACAGTAGAATTAATTCCAGTGATACCGTTTGGTCACCAACTTGTAAAAGGAGAACGTACCAATGTTCTGAGTCCATGGACAAGAGTAAAGACCGTAAGGAAACTATTTTATCTTTTCAAGTAGGATTTAGGAAATATCTAAGTTGTTTATCCAGTTCGAATACTTATGTTTCTGTGGGAAACTTGCCGGTCTTTCATACTGAAGTATTTAAATGTATTATGTATTGTAAAGAATTTTACATATTCTAGTATTGGAGAAGTGCTGCTCTGAAATAACACTTTTGGACAGAGACTCCGTGCAAGTTCGGGTTGTCCTATCCCTATCCTTTCAGAGTCCTAGTGTCTTAGTTACTTTTTTATTGTTGGGACAAGACAGCTGATATCCACAAGTTAAAGGAGAAAGGGTTTATTTTAGTTCACAGTTTGTAGAGGATTCAGTGGATGCTTGGCTCCAAGGCAGTGTGACATGGCAGAAGGGCATTGCAGAGGAAAAATACTCCGTAGCAGGACAGGCAGGGAGCAGCAGCAGCAGCGAGCCTTCCTTTCTCCTTTATCCCAGCCTGTAGGTTGGTGTCACCCACACCTAGGGTAGGCCTTCCTTTATCTACACCTAGAACGATTCTAAACTAGCCAGTTCTCTAATTGAGTTAGCACACAGCCTTAATCCATATTCACGCACTCTAGATCTGGACACCTGAGAAAAGGCCCACTTACGAGCACATGAGCTTTTAGGGGGACATTAGATACAAGTCCTGGATACCTAGGCCCTTCCGTTTTCCCTCGCTGTCCAGTGTAGGCTTTGTAAGTACGGCTGGCTCACTGCCATCAGTGAGCTGCTTTTCTTTTGGGAAGATGGATTGTCCGTTTTCTAACTAGTTTTGGGCAGGCTTTACTACTAGTGATAACTAAAGTCAACTAAATAAAATTATTTGAGAACATTTTGTCATTTTAGTTGTTACATGTATCATTGGATGTTTTTGGAATTTATATTTTAGAAATGAACTTCCCCCAGAATGTGGTTTATCAAAATGAAGAAGGTAGATGGGTCACTGACCTTGCCTATTACATGTCTTTTAATAACAAACAAGATTTAAATGTGTCGCTAAGTGAAATGAATGAAGACTTCAGATCTGGTTGTAAGTATGCAGGTAGCCACTTATTGTACCACATCGTTGTTTCTGTTGATGTTGGGATCACTGTGTGAAGCCGGGCGTGGTGGCGCACGCCTGTAATCCCAGCACTCAAGAGGCCGAGGCCAGCCTGGACTACAAAGTGAGCTCAAGTAACTGCATAGTGAGACCCTGTCTCCAAAAAAAGAAAAAAAAGAGGTTACTCTGTGTGTACTGGTCAGCTACATCTGATCCCTTCTGGGATATAATTGTCGCCTAGAACACGCGCTTCACTAGTTTTTGTAGGAATGAAGGCTGGCGCCTGTCACTCTTACCCATTTCCTTAGGTAAGGACACTGAGCCAGACCAGCGCTCTTACTTCTTATTTGGACCTATGGCACTGCAAGGTTAGAAAGGACTTTAGGCTTTAGTTGGTTTCTCTTAATGCTATCCTGAGAAAAAGAAATGTTCTGGTAAAGGAGCAATTGCAAAGGCTAAGAAAGGTAGAAACGATGGGAGAAAAGTGACAGGCCCAGGAACAGGGGCAGTCAGCTGGAGCTGAGGCTTGGGTTGTTAGTCTGCTTTGCTTTGTGAGTCTCTCACTGTGGAGATCACTTGAATGAAAAATTAAAAGTAAGTAGCTAATGAAAGACCAAAGTGGGACAGTGAAGATTTGATGGCTGAATTTCAGGAGAAGGTAGAAAGGCAAGAGTGAAGTTGTAGGTGGAGTTACGTGGGAAAATGGCATTGCCCTATACTGAAATGGGAGGTGTCAGAGGGAACTGTAGATTTGGGGTGCCTGTGGTCTGAGGTGGAGGCATTCAGTGGTTGAAATACCTGTCAGAGTTTTGAAGGTAAGGTACATTGAAGACGTTCACTGATGTCTTGATGTCGAAGGGCAGTGAAGGTCTGAGCTGAACAGTGAGTGCTGACTATCCCTCCAAGTCATAAGTCCTGGGGTTCCCTGGATGTGGCGGGAGAGTAAAGTGGCACCATCTTGGAAGTTGACATGGCAGTACCTTGGCGAGTTGGGCTTCATGAGCGTCCTGTTCATGGCCCAGTGACTCCATGCCCGAGTACTTACCTGGCAGACAAGGCTGTGCATTTTGCCAATGCACATGCTAATTGTTTATTGCAACAGTCTTTGTATTAGCCCCAAGCTGGAACCCTCCCACATGCCCATCAGCGGGTGACGCAGGCCAGGGAATGAGGGATGTTCAGCTCCTGGCAGCACTGGGGATGAAGTCATAGATGTGTTGACTAAAATAGTGCACACTAGGAGTACACGGCACATGCTTCTGTCTGTGCAAGTCTGCACACACACACTTGTGGATTAAGTTTGGGGAGAGTGGTACTCAGAGACAAGTGTGAGAGCCTCTTGATGCTGGCCGTGTTAGCATTTGTGGATTTGGGGGCTGGCTGTGCAGATGCATGCATATTGGCAGTCTGATGGCCCCAGGTGAGATTCCATGTGTGTTCATGGGTGAGCACCTGTATTCAGGTGTCTTGCACTCTTAAAAGCTAATGGTAAACTGAGTGTGGTAGTGTACGCCTGTAATCCCAGCACTCTGGGAGGCTGTGGCAGGAAGATTATAAATTCAAGCCTCACCTTGGCAACTCTGTGTCTTAGTGGGACCTTGTCATGGAAATAAAAAATAAAGGGCTGGGGGTACAGCCCAGTGTGAAGGCCCAAAATTCACTTGCCAGTATTGCCAAGAAAAAAAAATGCAAAGATAATTGAAATCCTTCTTTTCTTGACTTGGGTTGTCACTGTGTTGTACAGGCTGGCCTTGAACTCCTGGGCTCAAGCCATCCTCCTGGCTCAGCCTCCTGAATAGCTGGGACTGCAGGTGTGTGCCATTGTCCCTGGCTTAACTGGAATCTTCTAAAAATAAAAAAGCCCCTGTAGCAGATCAGTCAGTATAAAACCAACCACAGTGGAGTGCTCATTAGCAAAGACTGGCAGCCAGACTTGTGTATTTAATACAGATATGTAAGTCTCATGAGTAGACATTCTCAGATCATTTTAAAGCTTGTGTTTCCTTAGTACTTCGTTTTCTTGAATAGCTACGTTTTGTGCACTAGCATAATGTATATATACAAATTTCTTTTTTTAAGCTGAAGTATTGGATTTGATTGCAAAAGATGAAGAAGAATTTAATAAAGAGCATCAGTTTATACAGGTTTGTAATTATTTGCTTTAACCAAAGTCTGAAATTTTTCTTGTATTAATTTCAACATAGGCAAAATGCTTGTTTCCCTCTGAACAGCTAGTTTAGAATTATTTCTTGTTTCTCACATTACAGCTGTGGCTTTCCCTTCTAAAGTATCAGTTGAGGAGTATTGCATACCTAAATGTATCTCTGGGACTGGGGAGGTAGCTCAGCAGCACAGCGCCTGCTTGGCAAGCCCAAGGTCCTGAGTTTGATTCTGGGTACCCAAAAAAAAATGTATCTCTGGGTTGGGGCTCTAGCTCAGGGATGTAGTGCTTGCCTAGCATGAGTGAGACCCTGAGTTTGATCCCAGAACAACAAAAATGAAGTGAAATGAAATGAGTCTGTGTTTGCCATTTTATCTATTTCTTTCCTATGGGTATTTTCATAGTTTTTAAAATTTATTTTAATACAAGCTAACCCTGTTTGTTTTTATTGAAGATGTGTGCTTTCTAAAAGTTTTTTGTGACAGTCATGGTTTGATTATTAAGATAGTGCGTATTATAAATTCAGGTATTCAAATATGAGTTGTTCTGTAGCTTTTTTTTTTTTTTTTTCCCCTTTCTTGGGTCTTTTTGAGACAGGATCTTGGTGTGCAGTTCAGGCTGGCCTTGAGCTCACTTTGTAGCCCGGGCTGGTCTCGAAGTCACAATGATCCTCCTGCCTCAGCCTCCTGAGTGCTGGGATCACAGGCGTGTGCTATCATGTCTAGATATTCTGCAGCTTTTGTAGCTATTTACATTCACATTTGTCCAGATATTTTGCCTAATGTTTTAAAAATTAATTCTCAGATTTTCTTAGTTTTTTGTGTGAAAATTAAAATTTCACATAAAGAGCAGAAAGAATGCTTGCTAGGAGGGTTAAAAGAAAGCAGTGAGGGAAAAGAAAAGAAGGAAAGAAGGGAAAATATGACACACAAGATGGCTTAGATAATTGTACTACTAATTTCTATTGCTTTATGGAAAGGAACAGTTAATATTTAATTGTTTGATCAATCTTGCATGCCTATATTTGTTTAACTGAGTAACCAGTTTGAAGATAACAATATGTAATACAACCACCATTGTTAATTTCCTATCACGTTGTCTGAAATTCTGTATTACTTCTGTTGTTATAGTGTTGTTTTGTTTATGTCTGTTTGTTTGTTAATATATTTTCTTTTTTTATCTTTAAAATAAACACAAGAAAGCAGTAACAGCCCTCTTTTTTTCTAGGAAGAAAACATAGATGCTCAGAGCACTTCGGCTGTCCTGGGTGATACGTCGTGGACAGCTACAGTTAATTACAGTCTGTTGAGGAAATCACTGAGCACATCGGATCTGGACAAAGATGAGGCCAGTTATCTACGGCTGTCGTTAGGAGAATTCTTTGCTCAAAGGTCTGAAGCTCTTGGTTGCCTTGGTGGTGGAAGCAGTGTGAAAAGAGTGAGTATGAGATGCGTTAGAGGTGGTTAAAGCTACTGATGTCTTCTCAGTCGTCTTGTGCTCTGCAACAAAATACCTGCTGCTGGCTAAGTTATAAAGAAGTTTATTTTGGCTCACAGTCCATGAGGCTAAGCCCAGGATGGGGCAGCCACGTTTGGTCAGCGTCAGGTTGGGCTGGAGCTGAAGCAGAACGGCCATGCATGAAAGGAGGAAGCTGGGCTGGGGATGTAGCTCAGCGGCAAAAGCGCTTGCCTGGCAAGCCTGAGGTCATGAGTTTGATTCCCAGTACCAAAAAAATAAAAAAAGAAAGGAGGAGGCTGAGTTGCTTTATGACAACGCCCTTTCCATAACTAACGCACCTTTGCAGGATGGAATTAATCCCGTCATGAGGACAGATTTCTCATGATCCTAAAGGCTCTGGAAGCCCTGGTGCCTCTCAGCAGCGTTGTATTGGACACTAGGCCTCAGTGTGACTTTGGGAGGTTAGCAGTGTTTGCACTCTGGGTGAGCCTCACTGCTGCGATGCCGCCCCTGCTCTGCAGGAGCTTTGCACCCACACCCTGGCACGCGGCGTTGTGTTGGGGGTTAGCGCAGCATGGCTGAAGTGGTAGCTGTGAAGCAGAGGCAGAGTCAGGAGCACAGGAGAGTTGTACGGTACAGCCTACGTTCTTGATTTTGTTTGCAGTCCTGAGGACTGAACCCCAGGCCTCTTGGATGCTAGGCAGGAAGTTCCCAAGTTCTGCCACTGGCTGCACCTCCAGCCCTCTGTTATTTTGAGGCAGAATCTCTTAAGTTTCCCAGGCCAGCGTTGAATTTGCAAACTACACTCAGCCCAAAGCTTAGGTTTATGTTTTCATGTTTTTGCACCACTGGGGATTGAAGGCAGTGCCTTCACACTGTTACATTCCCAGCCCTTTCTAAAAATTTCTTTGTAAGACAGGGTCTCTCTCCACACTGGCCCAGCTGGGCTTGAGCTTGCAGTCCTCTTTCCTCAGCATCCTGAGTAGCTGGGATTGCAGGTGTGCTCTTCCGGGAAAGCGTGGGCTTTATAACGTGGGTCCAACCTGACTCTGGAAGTAGCTCTGCCTTTTATTAATGTGACATTGAACAGTTGAACTCTTCTCTGCCTTAGTGTCCCCTTTTCTAAAGTGAAAGGCAATGTTACAGGGCAGTGGTGGTGAACCTGTGGCACGTGTGCCGCAGTGGGCTGTTTGTCCTATTGAAAGCTCTGAAAGGTTCGCCATCATGTTATAGAGTGTCGTAGATTTGAATGTGATAGTGTTTGTAAGGCATTTAGCACCAACATGGAGTATTTTTCATGTGGTTGGTTGGTGGTGCTGGGTGTAGAACCTGGGCCTAGCACACACTAGGCAAGTGCTCTGCCAGTGAGACCCAGTGCTAAGGAGAATAGCGCCACTGTGAGAGCCTGGCCAGGAGGGTGGGTAGGGTCAGGACAGCTCAGCGTGTGGACCTCCTGCAGGAGCTGGGTTGGACCTTCAGTGATGGGGCAGGAAAGGGCTGCTCGCCACCAACCTCTCCAGGCACAGCCCGGTGCTTCCAGCTCTGTGTGGCTGGGTAGAGGGAGTGGAGGCATGGAGGAAGAAAATGGCAGAGGCTGCAAAAGGAGGAGAGGGATGTGGAGGCTGGGCCAGGGGTGATGTGCAGACACAGGAGTTGGTCTGCTGGTCATTCCAGAGAATTAGTGTCCCCAGAGAGAGTTTATCAAGTGTAGATTTCACGGAGACAGTAGATGCAGTGTTAGGAGTCGCCAGTAGTAAATTGATTAACAGAACTACTTTCTAACTGCTATGTTCCTGTCTTCTCTGTGCAATGAAATGAGAAATGGAAATAAATCCCTCAGAGGGGAATTTTTCTGTCTGGATTGATTGGGATTTTTGAGATTGCAGAGAAGTAAGAGTAACTGAGTTCCATCTGAAAACAAGTAGATAAACAAAGTACTAGAACCGGGTGTGAGAGCACACCTATAATTCCAGCCTCAGGAGGTTGAGGTAGGAGGTTTGCTGCAAGTTCAAGGCCAGCTTGGGCTGCACAGTGAGTTTAAGGCCAGCCTGAACTATATAGTAAGACCCCTCTCCCCAAAAGAGCAAAGCATTGAATCATGGAGAGCTAAGTCTGTTACTCAGCATTTTTATTTTGATATTAGCTAAGAAATTCTACATGCATTCAAGTCACTGGATCAAAGGAGGAAATTCCCAACTGAAGATCAATAAAATATTGAGTACATTTAATGAATTCACAGTTTAGACCAAGCGTGTGAGCGTTGTGTAAGAAACACATAGGGTTTCCATGTATTTTCACAGGGTCTTTGGGCATAGCCCATTCTGAAACTTTCAGGCAAGTTCTAGGAACACACAGTCTCAGCATGTGTTTGAGGGAATGTTTGGTCTCCAAAAGAAGACATCATTACACTGTAAGTCCTAGGCAGCAGGAATGTTTTCTTTTTTCTCATTGGCCTGTCACTGATTAGAACTCCTAGCAGGTGCTGATTAACAATGGTTGGATGAATAAAGTGTCATTTTTGCCATTTTAATTTGGATTTCTTACTTGGATAATTTGGATAACTTACTTGCTAATATTAATTTTAATAGTGAAAAGACAGCTAGCATTAGAGAAATAAAAGGTTCTATTTCAAGTTTTACAATTTATCTCTACTGGCGGTTATGTGGGAAAAGCTGTTTTGCTGAAATCATTTAGCAGTGTTAGCAATATTAGATAAAATCATGTAGAATATAGGAAAGCAGCTGAAAATTAAGGGAATAATTCATGTTTAATTATTTTGTAGCCATCATTTGGTTATTTCATTAGATCACCTGAGAAGAGCACACCGGTTGCTTTAATAAGCAAGTCTGACACGCCAAGAAGTAATTCAGAGAAGGAGATGGCTCATCTGAACTCCAGTCTGTCTTCAGGTAATGGGTTGAATGCTTGAACGAAAGCTTTCAGAGAATCTCATCTTTTTAACTTGTAACTTAGTCCTGTGGTATTGTTCTTTATGAGTGAAATGCATGTACTATTTTGCAGTTTTTCAGTACTGCTTAGATTTCAGTATTCCTTTCAGATTTCTTTTCAGTCTAAAGTAGAAACAAGTCAGCCATAATCCACCTCAAATGCTTTTGTAAAAAATGAAACTACACTATCATAGATTTCTGAGGTAAATACAGTTATTGTCTAGTTGTATTTTACTTGTATCCAGAATATTGTATTAATTAAAAATTTACTGTTAATGTTTATATTCCTGTGTTTATTCTTTTGCTCATGCATGTAACATTAGTATAAACTTGTCACTTTTAAGGTTTTTATCTCTGACTTCTAGAAATCAATTTCAAAAAATTGTTTCAGAAAAAAAATGAAACTAAATGAGATAATTTCAAATGCCCTAGTTAACTCTGGCCTATTGTTTCTGAGTTAGTGAATAATTACTTAAGACTTTCAATTAAAGATATATTTTGGAATTTAGATGATGATAGTCCAAATATGACATATCTATTAAAAGTACTTTTTGTGAGGCTGAGGCAGGAAGATTGCCGTAAGTTTGAGGCCAGCCTGAGCTACGTAGTGAGTTTAAGCCCAGCCTGAACTACAGAGCAAGACCCTATCTCAAAAAAACGAAAAAAAAGTACTTAAAATCAAATTTCCTGGGCCAGTGTTTAGGGACTGAGCGGCCCTGTTTTGCTAGCACAGTGTCTTTAGCTGAGCGTCCTGTGAAGCTATGTGCAGCGCGCGGCTCTCTGTAAGGAGCTTGTGTTCCTGTGGAGAGCTGGGCCACTGTAAAGAAGTGCTCGCTGTTAGCCCAGCGTGAAAGTCATGAAGGAGTGTACATGAGCGTTGGCGAGGGAGAGATTGCAGTCTGCATTGTCTCTCAGGCCTGTCCTCTCGGGCAGCCGATGCACAGGTGGTAAGATGCTTCCCAACAGCTAGACTAAGGGTTAGCGTGCGCGGGTAAGTGCACACTGTCTCTTCTGCAGGAGATCTGAACGAGCAGTCCCAGGCACAGCTGAGCCAAGGATCCGTTACCCTGCAGGTGGAAACCCTGGAGAGAACTTCAGACGCACATGAGCATGATGTGACGCTGACTGCCACCGAGGGGACGGCGGAGGTACTGTTTCCCTTCTGGAACCTGCGCTTGACTTCCTTGTGATAGTTGTCCAGTGAGAGGAGACAAGCTCGCCTGTGAAGAGTACATGCTGCCTCACATGTGTTTTATTTTCCTGGCTTCAGTTTTGTTTTTGGAGTGCAGGGACTGAACCCCAGGCCTCTTGCATGTGAGGCAGGTGCTCTACCACTGAGCTACACAAACAGCCTTCAGTTTTCTTACGTGTCTTCTTTTTTCTTTGCAGTACTGGGATTGAGTCCAGAGTCTTTGCCCTGAGCTGCATCCTGAGCCCCGCCCCCCCTTGTTTTTTTTAAGTCTTTCTGAAACAGGGACTCGCTATGTAGTTCAGGCCGGCCTTGATCTCACTTTGTAGTGCAGTCTGGCCTCGAACTTGAAGTGATCCTCCTGCCTCCGTCTCCCAAGTGCTGGGATTACAGGCCTGCACCATGCCTGGCTCCTGAGCCCTTTTTTAGTTTTTGTTTTGAGGCAGGGTCTCACTAAGCTATTGAGTTGCCAAGGCAGAGCTAGAATTTAAAAACCTCCTGCCTCAGCCTTTCAGGCTGCTGGGAATGTAGGCATGTGCTACCATGCCCAGCTTCTAATGTCTTGAAGTTAAAAAAATATTTTCCATCAATTTATAATATATGTAAAAGAGTTTATAGAACAAGTTTATAGTCAAATGTATTATCCCAGCTTTGCTTCTACTTTGTATGGATTTAATTTGCTGTTTTTGCAACTTCTTGAGATGAATGTCTGGCTCACTGATTTTTCTGCCTTGCTTTCCTAATGGTGTATATTTCCCTGAAAGCACAGCTTTTATTGCATCTCATAGTTTTCCTTTTGTCCTTTTTTTTTTTCTTTTTGAGACAGGGTCTCACTATGCAGTTCAGGCTGGCCTTAAGCTCACTTTGTAGCTGAGGCTTGTCTCAAACTCACAATGATCCTCCTGCCTCAGTCTCCCGGTGTGCTGGGATTACAGGTGTGCACCACCACACCGGCTGCTCCTGATCATTGTTAAATTGTATTATTACTTGGTATAAAATTCTAGCTTAGAAACAACTTTTAGCTGTTTGCATTACTACTTTACATCATTTCATTTTAAAAGTTTGCTGACACAGTTTTACAGTTATTTCATTAAAGATAATGTGTCTTGTCGCAGGGAGCTTTAAAAAGTTTTTCTTTGTTTTTACCCATCTTCCTGAAATGTACTTAGATAGCTGCAGTTCGTAGGAAATTTGTTGAAGTAACACCAGCCCAGGGAGGTGTGTTCCAGGTTGAATGTGTTTGCTACTGACAGGCAGGGGACACGAGTGAGTACAGGCTGTTGGCTTATGTGTTGGGACCGAGCTGACCGGACTGGGTCGGTTTGGAGGAGGCCAGTCCAGTTGCGTGCACCCCACCACACGGGGATGTGCAGCCTATGGCCCACCTTTTTTTTAACATTATGGCAAAAATATTTGTAAAAGAAAGTTTTACTCACATGTGAGTGTTAACTCTATTGCACATTTTATATGTTGCGCAAGACGGCTCCACTTCACTGCAAACAAGGCCTGCCGAGGCTTGGGCCTGCCTGTGGGGAGCCCTCGTGGTCTCATCTTGAAGCACGCACCTCACACAGCCATGCACTCCCGTCACCCCCAGACCTGGTCCCAGCAGACTCTGAACTCCTTTTTCTTCCCCATCCCCATGATTACTTTTCTTTTTTTTTGTCTTTTTAAGACGGTTTCGCTGTGCAGTTCAGGCTGGTCTTAAATTCACTTTGTAGCCCAGGCTGTCCTCGAACTCGCAATGATCCTCCTGCTTCAGCCTCCCAGGTGCTGGGATTACAGGCATGTGCCACCTCGCCCGGCTTCCCCATCCCCATGAGAACAGTTGTGCTCGCCCTCTTCCGGAAGCGACAGTGCCTCCTGGGAAAAGCATCCCCACTAGTGGGGCTGCATCTCTGGATTACTGATTTCTCCTTAGGTTTTGGCTCCATAACTTTGCATGACCTTTTTCTTTCAACACCCCCTAAAGCTCCTTGTTAGCTGTAAGAGGTCTTCTTGAATATGCTGTCTAGTCCTGGTTGCTCTTAGGAGGAGATTATGTTACCTACTCTGCTGTTACTGAAGACAAAAATCTTAGCATTGCAATCTTTTTGTTCAGTAGTTTTATGGTTCTTTGCTGTTGGATGCATTTCAATTTTTTACCCATGGTTCTTGTTTTTTTTCCCCATAGTTCTTGTTTATGTCTTGCTTATAAATAATTTGAACAACTGAATGAAATTGCCAAGAATTATATTTTAAATAGTGGCTCACAGGTTTATCCATCTTTGTAGTTTGATTTTTTTTGTTCCTTATTATTTTTGATTCAGTTTTAGCATTGCTTTATTTATTTTTATTTTTATTTTTTGGCTTTTTTCCAGTACCGGGAATCGAACTCACTACTTTGCGCTTGCCAGGCAGGCCCTGTGCTGCTGAGCTAAATCCCCAGCCCCTTAGCATTGCTTTAAGTCATGAAGCTTTTTAAAAATAAAATTTGTAAATTACATGGTACTGTATGATTGAAGTTGGTAACGGGTATCTTTCTCGTTAGTCTGTGTAGTTGATATGCCACTGGCTTACCTGGTTCTGTGTGATTAAGTTTGGTGATGGCCGTCATTTGCGTTAGACACCGTAGATGACTTGCTGCTGCCACTGTCAGTTGCCACATCACCCAGATGTCTCCATCTGTACTTCCAGTTATGGGAGATAAGACGCGCCCCTGTTGTCTAGACTGCGTCTTTTTTTTGGTATTGGGAATCGAACTCATGACCTCAGGCTTGCCAGGCAAGCGCTTATGCCACTGAGCTATATCCCTGGCCCTGACTTGCTGCTGGTTTTTGCTGCTGTTGGAGCTTGTGCTGTTAGTACTTCTGCCATTGTCACCTTTCACGTACAGGTTTACTGTATCCTAATATTACGTGGAAAACTGTAATAGAGAAACAGGCTTTTCCATATCTTTATTACAGTGCATTGTTATGATTGCTCTGTTTTATTAGTTATTGTCATTGATGTCTTGCTGGGCCTGATTCATAGTTGAGCTTTATTCTGGGTATGTCTAAGAAATAATGCCCTGTGTTTTAGGGGGTTCAGGGCCATCATGGCCTCAGGGCACCCTTCCACTGAGGGGAGCTCTTCTGTAAATAAAGATTCAACTAACTTGAACATTCCCTAGAAGTGGCGTGAGTTTTTCTGATGTACATTTTCTGATTTCTAGGACTCTTTCTTCAGGAATAACAAACTCCAGCACAAAGAGGAGCTCCCCGACCATGGTGATTCTGTGCTCAGGATCAGCACCATCGCGTCAGCCATCGCGGACGCCTCGGTCAGCACCGATCCCTCCCAGTTTGCCGCCCTCATGAAGGCCCTGAGAAACAGAGCCAGGGGCCAGGCTACTCAGGAGCGTGGCGAGCACAGGGACTGCTCCGTGTTGTCCTGTCGCTCCCCTGGTGACTTGCACGGAGGCAGTGGCTCCGGCGCATTTGAAATGGAGAAGTACCTCACAAAAACGGACCTTAGTAGATGTGAAGGTGGGTTAGAAAGTGTGTCAAGAGCTGGCCTGCTGGACGTGTGGGACTTGTCGTTGCTAAAAGAACAGACTGCTGAGGATGTCCACGCGGTCAGCTCTTGTGCTGCTAACTTGAGTGAGCGGGAACGCAGAGAAAAGACAGCAGCTGTGCTTCCTGGCGGAAGTGGAGAGAGTGAGAATCGGGGCTCATTCGGAACCGCTGAGTCTTCAGACTCCACTCGGCCGAGTCTGAGGGAGGAGGGCGCAGCGGCTGGCGGGCAGACACTTGCCTCCGACCACGCCTTGCCAGACACTGGTCCCGGTGAGGAAGCGGCCTCTGTGTCCACTCCAGCGCCCAGCAGTTACTCCTCGGTAAGGAGCCCCCGAAGAACACCCCTCTGCCTCTTGGAAGAGTGTGAAGAAATGCAAAATCAGAGGCAAACGGAGGGTGCTCGTGAAACAAGCAACAGTGACAAGCGCACGACTTTTGAAGAGCCTTGTGTCGCCTCACCGGGAAGTGTGGGTGAGTATCTGAGTGCCCGCTCACATTCACAGGCTTGTGCGCAGTGTTTTCTGTTCTCACTGCAACATGTGCTTCCCGGCAGATTGCAGGAACGCCTCTGCTGAGCACGCCGGGGCTGGCTCGGAGGAGGAGCAGGAGAGCTTCTGGCCGTCCACCTCCCCACTCAGCCACTCTTCACCCAGCGAGGGCTCGCGGGCCAGTGCGTCAGGGTACGTGCTCACCTCTCCTTGCTGCTGTTACTGACAGCGTGTGCTCTGTGTGGGAAAACTTGCAAAAAGCATAGGGAGAACAAGTGCACATTCTTAGGTTCATTTCTCAAAGGCAACCATTGTAAATGTTTTGTGAATTTTTGTTTTTCTTGTGCAGTTTTTTTTTTTTTTGTCTTTTTGAGATGGTCTCACTATGCAGTTCAGGCTGACCTCGAATTTGCAACAATCCTCCTGCCTCAGCCTCTTGAGTGCTGGGATCACAGGCATGCACCACCACGCCTGACCCTTGTGCAGATTTTCTTACCCTGCTTTTTTTCATTTACAGACTGCCAGGCTGGCACTCTGTGGCTGAGCTACACCCTAGCCCTAGCAGCTTGGGTTTTTGTGGCTGCAGAGTGCTCTGTTATAACCCAGCTCCTCCTATAGGAGATTTAAGTTGTCCTAATTATCAGGGATAGCACTATGATGAAATAACCTTTTCATGAAGTCTTTATCATTAATTTTTTCCTGAGGAAACATTCCTACATGCAGAACACGAGAGTTAAGGGGGCTTTTGATATGTCCCACCCACTTGCTCTGCGGAAAGTTGTGCCACCCTGTGTCTGTATACACTCCTGTCAGTGCATCTGACCTGTTTCTTTGCCTTTACCTGTATGGTTCTCTTTTTTATCTTTGCTCTTTGAAGGAGAGAAATTTTAATACTTTTGTTCACTACTCCATATGAAATACTCAGTGTAGTTTTATCGAAGGAATCGTTAAATGTCTGTATATTTATTTATAAAAATGCTACAACACTTTTCTTTCACTGTAGCTTACCATATAGGTTATCCAGTAGGACTAGACACAGCCTTTAGATAATTAAATGTAGAAGGGAGTACATGCCGTAGTTGCTCCCAAGTTGAGGGCAGGCGGAGGGGGCGGTTGTGGTGTGGGTGTGGAGAGTAAAGCCTAGGTAACTGACATGAGGCTCTCGCTTCTCTTCAGGGGTGCTTCAGAGTCCCTCGACTTAGCAGCCTGTACCCAGAAGTGCCCTGCTGAGAGTGAGGAGAGTGAGCTGTCCCGGCTGGCATGTTCCCATGCTGACGCGAGCAGACTGACTTACCTGTCTGAACAGGAGAGCACCTGTCCAACCTCAGCCACTAACGATGCCGGCAAGGTGGGCAGCACTCGGGCTGTTCTTCTGGACAGCTTTGTGCTTAACTGCAACTGGAGCTCAGGCCTGCTCACTGCAGAATAGAGAGTGTGTGCGTGTGCACGTGCACGTGTCCATATAAACAGGTGCTCCTGCTGGGTGGGCACTGGAGGGCCGAGAGTCTGGTGTCACCCCCAAAAGCTCTGTTGGTGCCAGGCAGACTGTGTCGTGAAGTGTGCTGAGGCAGGGGTGTGCCCTGAGGAATCCCAAGGAGGTGGCAGACCCCAGCGGCAGGGCCGGGTGGCTCAGCAGGGGAGCATGAGAGGCTTTATGTGTGGAGGCCTTGATTTGCACAGCAACTTAGAGCTAAACGGGAGCCAAGGGGCGGATGGGGGATGGACGAGGTGGGAAGGAGCTGTGCACTGTGCCGCAGGTCCTCGGGGAGCCTATGTTGGCTGCAATGAATCTTACATGTGGAGAGGGTTGGCAATCAGAGAAGGCAAGACCAAGCGCTGGAGAGGCTGGGAGGTCAGGTTTTGGAGTTTGAATGCTTGTAAGCTGGGCAAAAAGGAGAGTGTGTCAGTAAGGTCAAAGCAGTAAGAACAATCATGTACATGAGAGCTTCTGGCTGAGTAATTAAGTGGGACTGACCAACTTGTAGTGATGCATTCTGGATTTGCTTTTGATTTAAAAGCTTGCTCCAGCTGGGCATGGAGGAGCAAGGTTGGAACGGGGAGATTTGACGTAAGGCTATTGCAGAAATTCAGGTCAGAGATTGTGCGGGCCTGTGGCAAGGTAGGGTAGGAGAGCTGAGTTTTATCCGGGAGCAGCGCGTGTATTGTGTGTTCTTGCGTGTGTGCTGTGAGTGTGAGTGTTCAGCTTTGCGGTGAGCTGTGACTACTCTGCACACGGTACAGGCCGCTCCACTGTGTGGGTCTGGTCAGCAAGGCCTGCTTCTGAGGTTGCTGGCTGTGGAGTCTGCATGCTCTCTGCGTGGCTAGGAACTGAGTGATGAGCTGGGTAGCCTCCTGTTGAGTCCCCAGGTCCCTAACCCCCAACACCTGCATCCTCCCCTGTGAGGAGCAGCGCAGGGAGGACCATGCTGGCCACCTGGCAATTCTGCACTATTACTAATAAGCAGCTGGGTCTGGACTTTGGCTGTCAGTATCTCTATTTCTAAAGCTTCAGTCCAGGAGAGATTACCAAACCTAGAGCCAGGCAGAGTGCAGGGTGTTCCGGGGTGTAAATGCCGCCTGTCGCCCTACAAGCTGGCAGTGTCACCGGCAGGTGGTGCGTGAAGAAGTGCATGTGAGCCCTGGCCAGGACTGTTGCTAAGTACACAGACCACACAGGCCACACAGGTGCAGAAACTGGACCCGGCTCAGTTCGCAGAGCCTTCCAGCGTGTGTAGTCCGTGTGGACAGGAGTGGTGTCTGGGGCCTGGACCTGTGCTGCGTCACCTCCGACCTCATGTCCGTAGCAGTGGGCAGCTTGCTCAGCCGTCATTCCTCTGTTGCTAACGGATTTAGATTTTCATTGTAAAGTTGACAGAACTGAGTCTCTGAAGTGTGTCCGTTACGTGACTCTGGTTGCTGTGGGAAGTAAAGAAAGACAAAAGACAGTATTCAAGGTACAAGGGAACTGAGAGGAGCCTGCCTCAGTAGACAGGGACAACCGTCTCCATGGTGACCCGCTCTGTTAGCCAGCGAGGAGCACAGGAGAGAGGATAGTGCACTGTCCATGGAACAGCCACTGCAGTAATTGGGGAACAGTTTAGTGGAGAACAAGTACTTCTTCGTAGCGATATCCCTGCGTTCTTCTAAAGCAGATGTTGTCTTGCTTTAGAAGTGTTGCAGTTGAGCATGGCAGTGCACACCTGTAATCTCAACATTTGAGAGGCTGAGGCAGGAGGATTGCCACAAGTTCAGAGCCAGCCTGGGCTACATAGTGAGTTCAGGGCTGGCCTGACTACATGGTGAGACCCAGTCACAAAAAAAAAAAGAAAAAGTGCAGTTACGAGCTTTCCCCATGGAAGCAGGAAGCAGGCGGCCTTCCGCTTACCTCTCTGTTCCTAAAGCAAGGTCACACTGGCCTCGGAGCCATGGGACCCCAGTCACATAGCCTGGTCCCCAGCATTGTAAAATACTGTTTCCTATCCCCTGCTTCCCAACAGCTGGTCCTTCATGTGCATTTTTTTGACATCATTGGTATATATCACCCATTTAGTTTCCTCACATTATAATTACTTTTAGAGTAACGAATGCAATTTTCTCATGTAAGCCTGTCTTTCGCAGCTATGAGACTGCTGTCTTGTGTGTAGGGCAGCTCCTCCTCAGAGGGGTAGTGCTGTGTAGACCGCCTTGTATCTCTCGAGGTTATACTGCCATGATTTGGGGTGACTGTGTTTGGTTATCTGTGGGTGACTCTGGACATTTGTCACACACAGAGTGACCTCACCAGTGAGCTGAGCACCGCAATCATCCGAGCCAGCCCGCTGCCCCCCAAGGAGGAGGCAGAGCTGTCCCTTCAGCAGAGCAGGGGAGCCGCATTCCCCCGAGGGGGTCCCGAGCGAGTGGTCCCCAGTGAGTCTGGAGTATGGAGAGCCGCTGCAGCTGCTTCTCTGAGTAGCAGGCCTCACGACATGGAACCTAACTCCGCCTCGAGCCAGGTCCCTTCTGAGAGTGGAGCGCTGTGGGAAGCCAGGCAGCTGGTGGGGATGTCCTGCTGCGGGACAGGCCAGGCTCTGAGCCAGCCAGGTCTCAGCTTCTGGGCTGGGCTGGCCCCACCTCAGCTCCCTGCACCAGGCCAACAGCCCGTGGTTGGAGGTCAGAGGACAGCTTCTGAGGACCCCGGCAGTGAGTCCTGGGGCCAGGTCCCTCGACGAAGTATCCCTGGACACGAGCTCGCTGCTGACGCTGACGCTGACGCTGACGCTGCCGCTGCCACTGCCACTGCCGCCGCCCCCGCTGCCGCCGCCAAGGGGCAGAGTGTGCCCTCTTCCTATCCTGCGCTCTGGGCAGGGCCGCCCCTCATCACAGCCACCTTGGCCCAGCAGTGTGCAAGGACACACGTCGCGTTGCCGCCTCCGTGCCACGCAGGCAGCGCCCCGGTCTGTGGGTTCTCAGGACGGCCCCCTTACCCAGGTGTGGCAGGGGACCACGTTCAGAACCCCGTGGCTATGGGGATTTGTCTAGGGCCAGGTCTCACTTCTGGACTGCTGGGTTCCTCTACCCTTTGTAACCCGTGCTCTGACGCCTTCCATCAGACCCTGCACAGCACAGCAAAACCTTTTCCCACGCACCCTGCCAGCGCAAGCTGTGGGATCGAGCCCTGGGATTCAGGGATGATGGCAGGATTTGGTAAGATGCTTTTTCTGTTATTAAGGTTTGTTATTTAAAACTTCAGTTTTCTTAAATTTTTCTCAAATTCCAGTTTTCCCCAAAACTAGTTTGTTGGAAGGAAGTATTGTTTGGTCTTATTTTTTTGAGACAATGTCTCACTGTAGTTCAGGATGACCTTAAACTCACTATGTATCCCAGACAGGCCTTGAACTTGCAGCGATTCTGCTGCTTAGCCTCTGAAGTGCTAGAATGAACACACTGTCGCCAGCTTGAACTCCTGGTGGTATACACATGACTGTCCCATTGGGTGGCTTGTACCACTCTTGGTAGAAGTGGTACAGTCATGCATGGGACAGTCATTTATGTGACAGTCCTGAATGTTCCACTGGTGGTTCAAACAGCCTGACAGTGAGGCATAAAAATTATGGCCCTGTCATGAACGTGGTAAGGCGTGCACCGCCATGCCCAGGTTTGGCCTTCATTTCTTATTACCTCCTTTCTTTGTCCTATATTTAGAGCATCATAGTATTTCCAGCCAGGTGTCCCTGAAGTTGGCTTCGAATGACACTGACACTCATGGTGGACAGCACCCTAGGCCCTGTCTTCCCTGTCTCTCTTTGGCTCTGCACTTGGATTTGTCTGGTGTTCTTTTACCTGAGAAGTGTCCACTGTTGGTCAGATGCCCTTGGGAGAGGCTGCACCTGCACCTATGGGTGGGCAGCTCTTCTCCCTGGCAGCCGTCTTCAAAGCAAAGTGGGCCTGTGCTTTTCCTGGTGCGGTGTGTCCACTCCGTGGGGTGCTGTTTTCCTGTCCACCTGCCAGAATCACCATGCAAGCCAGGATGGGGAAATTGGGTGGTTTTCAGAATCTGAGCAGGCAGGCATTTCCGGAGTGCAGGCTATTCTGGGGTCCACTTCTTGTTCTTTTTCCGTTCTTCTTCATTTTTTTCAGGTAGGGCCTTGTTATACAGTTCAGCCTGATCTTGAACTTACTGTGTACCTGAGGCTGGCCTCAAACTCAGGGCAGTCCTCCTGGCTCAGCCTCCCTATGTAGTTCAGGCTGGCCTTAAACTCACTATGTATCCCAGGCAGGCCTTGAACTTGCAGTGATTCTCCTGCCTCGGCCTCTGAAGTACTAGAATGAACACGTTATCGCCAGCTTGTGCCACCATGCCTGGCCTCACTGGGATCTTACTACTTCGAGTGGATTTTGGAGAGAAGAAAGGGCTAGTTACCAATAGGTAGTGACATCACAGGCTTGATTTGCTGTCACTTGTAGATTCCACCGATGTTAATCATTTTGCTTTTCCTGGGCTGAATGGAGCCAGGCTCTGCATGTGTGAGGCCTGGGTCCCTGCAGGCCGTATTGTAGTGACCCCCCACCCAGTGGTGTCTCCTCCAAGTATTTGATGAGTGTGCTTTGCCTTTCTCTGGCAGCGAGCGTCAGGGTGCCGGAGGAGCTGAGGTTCCCGCATGCGTGCTGCATGGGCATCGCCTCGCAGACCCACCTCAGCGTGCTCAACCCCACCGACCGCTGGCTGCAGGTCAGCGTGGCCGTGCTGAGTGTCAGTGTCAACGGGGAGAAGGTGAGCACTGTGACTTCCTCAGGTCACGCCCACTGCTCTGCCTGCGCCTCCTCACTGCTGCTTAGCTGTCCCGCGCGGGATCTTCTCTGCCCCTCGGTCGCAGTACTTACAGAGTGAGAAGCAAGATCTGAATGAGTTTGTAGCTTCTGTCTTTGTTACTTATTTATAAAACCACTGCGGTTTGCTTTTAGCACTGGTGTTTACGTCACTAAGTGCTCTGACTTCTGGCTCCACTTCCTGAGTCTGACTTTGTTGAATGTGATTGATGTGAGCAGTGATGACCACTGTCACTGTAACTCTGGACCCCAAGTCTCCTTTCTTCCTCCTGCTGGGAAGGAGGCTGAGCGGCTGCACTTCTTTCGCCCTAGGCAGCAGCCTTTTCTCCCTGGCCGCATAAGGTCTTCTCCACACTTCTTACTTTCCTTGGTGTTCCTCTGCTTTTGGATCCTTGGGTTACAAAAAGCAGGGGATTAAAGGAGAGGCTGAGGATGGAAGGTGAGAGGTGGCTGTGGCGGTGGGAGCTGGGAAGAAGATCCCCACTTATGGAGAGAAGGGGACGGGACCAGTGTGGTTAGCCCTGGGCAGAAGTAGCACCACATCCCAGGGAAAGCTCCCAGCTGTGAATACCATTGCAGCACCCTGTAGAAGTGAATGTGAGATAACCAGGTCTGTGCAGAAATGGACCAGGAAGGCACAGTGTTTATGTAGCAACAGCAACTCAGTTTATGAAGCATGTCAACTAATTAGGTTTTATAGGTCATGATGTTTTGGAAGACATGATGTCCGAGCTGAGGAGTGCATGTATCTGGGAGAGGGAATCTTCACCTAGGGGATTCTCCTTGATTTTCAAAGTAAAGCCATTTCTTAACAAACTTTGTGGTTCTTTTTTAAAGGTGGATCTCTCAACATATCCTTGTTTAGTTTTCAAGAATAAAGTCATCGTAAGACCACATGCAGCAGAAGAGATAACAGTGCTTTTCATACCGTTGGATCCCGGGATTTTCAAATGTGTGTTCAGGGTTGCTTCGTGGCCATTTTCAGCAGACACTGAGACAATCATGCAAGCGGAAGCCTTGGCGAGCAGAGTTGTTCTCACTGCCATTGCCGAGAGCCCTGTCATTGAGGTAACAGTTTCTACACAGGTCTTTGTCCTTCCTGTATTTTAATGCAGGCTATTTAACCTGCGAAATAATATTTAGGAAAAAGCAGTCAAGGCCTGTGTTGAGCAGTGTAGGAAGCTCAAGAGTGTCCCTCCCAGGCCTCTGTCCATGAGAGCAGCACTTTCCCCAATGTGACCGCTGAGAGTGTGTCATGTCCGCTCCAGCAGAAGGTGGGCACTGTCTGTGGTATGTTTCAGGTTACTTCTGATTCCTGAGGAACTCGTCCTCTGCTAGTTACTTTAGCTGAGTCCTCTCGGTTATTTTGTTTACACGGTCTTTGAGTTTCAGGTGGTGTTTGGAAGTTTTGTGAACTTCCATTCACCGTGCCTGCTTTTGCTCTGGGACCGTGTGTCGTGGTCTGTGGAACTGTCCCCAGAGAGCATGTGGCCGAGGAACAGCAATGCAGCTAGGCCCCATGCCCGGCCCCAGCTTGCAGTTCTTGCAGTCTGTTGACATCCAGATGCCATCCTGGCTGCACTCTGCCTACTGCAGGCTTGAAGTCCTGTCTTCAGTGGCTAAATTCTGCCACCCTGGGGACAGAGCCGGACGCCAGGCCTTCGTGGGCCACCGTAAAAGTCAGCTCTCACTTGCCAGTCTGCCTGTGATTTTCTTGTATTTTATGTTCTGCTAGTGCAGGGCGTGTGCATGTGTGTGTGTTAGTATTGTCTAGTATTTTAAACTTTTGCTGTGTCTGTTTTTACATCATTTCAAATACCTTCATTTGATCAGAAGTTTGGAGTAAATCTGAAAATGCCGTGATATTCATGACAGTTTTGAAGGGACTCTAGCAGTTACTGCTCCTTGAAGGAGAGCTGAGTGTTTACCAAGCTGTTTTCAGCGTAGCAGCAGCTGAGACATTGTTTTATTCTGTAGTATGTCTGGATGCACAGACTACTTCAAAATTTAGTTCTGTAGGAAGTAAGCAATTGTAAAATAACCTGGGAGTCCTTAGGTCTGAGTTTACATTTAGGGCTGATTCTTAACCTGTGGCCAGAGGCGTGGTGGGCTGTAGTATTTATTAGTGTATTGCTTTCCTAAATGAGTTTCTTTTTCTCATGTATAGGTAGAAACGGAAAGGAAAGGTGTTCTTGATTTTGGTGACGTGACTTACGGAGGCTGGAAGGCTCTCCCGGTGAAACTGATTAACAGGTCGCACGCCTCCGTGCCACTCAGGCTGGTTATTAATGCTGTAAGTACCGACTGGGGAGGAAAGCGCTTGCAGAGGACACTGGTTTGGAGTAGTAAATGCCCTAGTGTGCCTGGTTCATCTCCCTTGTGAAAGGCAGTTATGTCAAGGGTTCCATTAGCAACCCCAGTACCACACTGAGCTGCTTGTTTCTCAACAGAATGCCTTAGCCTGGCGCTGCTTCACGTTTGCCAAGGAACCAGTTCCTGCTTCCCTGAAAACTGCTCCCTATGCTGATGTTGTGGCTCAGCTGGCGGCTCCGTCTGTGGTCAGCTATGTGATGCCTGCCAGCTATGAAGGACAGGTAGGCCATGGGGGTTGAAGGACTCCCCATCAGACAAATGCAGTTTAAAACAACACTGTGGTTCTGTCTTACCCCAGAAAGAACGGCCCTCATCAAGCAATTAAACAATAACAAATACTACAGGGAAAAAGGAATCTTTCTACACTGTTAGTGGGAATAGTGTGGCAATTTCTCAGAAACTAAAACTAGAAATTCCATTCAGCCCAGGTATTCCTCTGCTGGGTGCCTTCCCAAAAGAGTTAAAAACCTCATATTACAGTGATCTCTGCACACCCACATTTACAGCAACACAGTTTGTAATAGCTGAGTCTTGGAAGTGGCCCTTATGTCCATCAACAGACAGATGGGTAACGATAGCGTGGTATTTGTACATGATGGAGCACCACTCTGCTACTAAGAAGGATAAATTTGAGTCATTTGTAGGAAAATGGATGACTCTGAAACCATGTTAAGTGAAGTAAATCAGACACACAAGTTTAACTATCACAGTCTCTCTTATATGAAAAACCCAAAATATAAATAATTTTTAAAGAACAAAGTAAAAGATAGAGCATAGGAAACCAGATCCTTTGCAGATGGGAAGAGGGTCCAGAGACTAAGCGAGTGGGGAAAGGGATCAAAAGAGCTGCGACGTGCTCAGTACCTGTGCTGACCGTGAGATGCGTGTAAGCATTACATACTGTAGATGTGCACTAACGGAAAGTTTAAAAAGGAAAACTCACTTAGAATTCAACAGGAAGTTTCCACATTTCACCATTAAGATTTCAGTCTTGGGGCTGGGGATTTAGCTCAGCAGCACAGCGCCTGCCTGGCAAGCGCAAGGTCGTGAGTTCGATTCCCGGTATTGGAAAAAAAAACTAAAAAGAAAAAAAAAAAAAAAGATTTCAGTCTTAATACCAGTGTATATTTAAAAATCTTTTTTTTTCTTTTTTCATTTTGTAGGATCCAAAATTTCTGATAATTTGGGTTCTTTTCCATAGTCCAAAGAAACTAATTGCTTCTTCAGGTAACATGTTTCCCTTTCTTGGGGGAATGCTCTATAGTTAAATAAACTGCATGTTTGAGCTTATGTCTTCCACTAAATGTTTTTTGAGGAATTTGTTATGAATTCTATGTTGTGCAGAAGATGGGCCAGTGATGTAATAATTTGGGTCTAACTTGCCTAAGTGTGGGAAACCCAAGCAAATGCCCAGAAAACTTGGTCATTTTGCCAGAGTTTCCTTGTGACCCTAAGCAGGTTGTGTTGGACTGCTGGTGGCATTTGGATTAACCGGCTCTCTTTGTGCTCCAAACTAAAAGACTGAATTTTTGTAGAGACTCTAGGTTCAGCGGAAGAGTTTGTGGCAAGGGTTGACATCGAAGTGGACAGCCCGAACCCCACCCCAGCTCTCAGCAGCGTGGGTCTCCGTGCAAGAGCAGGCATTGCCAGGATCCACGCCCCCAGGGACCTGCAGGTGCCCTCACTTGTGATGCTGGAGTGTATGCTTAGGCTGATTTCATTGGAAGTGTGCTAGCTTTTTAAATACCATGTCTTTGTGCCCCCTGTAGACTGTGCATTTGTTGGCCAGTGTGAATTCTGCAGCAAAGCAGCCCTTACCTCTGAAAAATGCTGGAAATATTGAAGTTTACTTAGATATCAAGGTGAGAACTTTATTCAGAGTGCTGTAAAGCATTCCCCTCCATTCTGAGGGCGGCAAGGCTGGTTGCCCTGCCAGTGCCCTGAGAACTGGGTGGAGCAGTGTCAGGTGGGTGCTGGGTGCTCTGACACTGAAGTCGCGTGTTTGGAAAATAAACAAGTTCTAGGTCAGCTCCTGAGAAAATGTACTTGTCATCCTGTGGCAAGGAGGAATTCGAGGAGACCGAGCCATGGTCCACACATAGGTGTTGTTCTGAGACTCGTGGTGTGGGTAAGAGTGGTAATGACCAGACGCTGGGGATGGCGTGGGAGGTAGGTTTGTTGAGGAGAAAGGAGGAAAAAACCCCGTCGGAGCCAGTAAGATGAGTTAAGACAGGAATAGACAGGAGGAAGGGACAAATAGGACACGAGGCACTGAGACCTGCGTACCCCAGGGAGAACCCCAGTGTGAGTCGGCCTCTAGTTACGGTTATGTAATTGTTTAGGTCCCAGAACAAGGAAGTCACTTTTCAGTGTATCCAGAGAATCTATTCCTTAAGCCTGGAGAAGAACATGAAGTGATAGTTTCCTTTACGCCAAAGGATCCCAAAGCCTGTGAGGAAAGGTAATATGAAAGTACCTGTCGTGGCAAACCTGTTCCCATCTCTCAGAACGGCACACACTTCGCTGGCTTCCTGTCCAGCCTGAGTACAAAGCACCTGCTGTGCTTCACCTGATTCACAGTGCTGCTCCACTTAGTCTCTCTCACTTAGTCTCTTTCACCCCTTTTAAACCAGTTGAGTAGAAACTAACAAATCAGTGTTCTGAGAGTACAATAATAAATAAAACATCAAGTTTGATGTTTGTCAGGAACTCTCCCTTTCTCCCAAGAAGCCTGTAGCTGACTTTGTCATTGGTTCTTGTCAGACTCTTCTCCATCCGTCACAGGCCTGTGACGCCCAGGTTGTAGTGAGCACCAGCTTAGCCAGGCTGCCCCTGTTGACATTCGGGCTTGTGTGCACAGGCCTCGCCAAAGCGGCCTCTTCTGGTGGCAGTGCTTGTCTGCCATGGGGACCCTCAGAGAAAGGGGAAGCGTCAGCCCCGCAGTGCGAACATCCACGCCTGGGACGCTTGCCCTTAGTTCCCCTGGGCCGGCCGCTTCTGGAGACGTACCTGACTCTTCCCACATTCCTCATAAGTAGGCTTCCCATAGTGCCGTGAGCCTTTCTCGTCCCACATGTAGGTGGACTGTGACTGCCTCCTTGGTCTGTGTTCCTCCTGGGTGCAAGCTCTCGGGGTGGGGGTGTCACTGTATCCGCAGCCCTTTCATTTATTGGACATGCAGATAGATAGGAGGTAGTCGCCCACAGAATTGAATGCAGGACATTTGACTTAGTTTTTTCTTGTTGTTAGGATCTTGAAGATATTTGTACATCCGTGTGGCCCTCAGTATGAAGTGGTGTTAAAGGGTGAAGCCATTTCTTCCGGAAGTCAACCTCTGTCCCCAGGCCCTTGCTGCTCAGATCTTCCATCCATTCTGTCCAATAAGCAGTTCCTGGCGTGGGGCGGTGTCCCTCTGGGCAGGACACAGTACGTATGCACACAGTGGCCTGCAGGGCAGAGGTTTTGCTCTGATTACCAACTGTTTTCTCTCCTGTGCTAATTGTGGCTGTGTTACTGCTTTTAGCATTGAGAGAAAACCATCTTGTATTTGTTTAATTTTCCTATCTTAAGTTTTACAGTTTGAATTTAAAAATTTCCCTGCCTTAAAAATGTGTCTCAGAGCTAGGTTTTAGTTTTCTTTAAGTTCTTAAAATAAAAACCACATTTCTTTTATTTATTTATTTATTTTTTCGTTTGTGTGTTTTGGGTTTTTTTCTGGTACCGGGAGTTGAACTCACGACCTTGTGCTTGCCAGGCAGGTGCTGTGCCACTGAGCTAAATCCCCAGCCGCCCCAAAAAACACATTTCTTTAAAAATTCAAGAATAAATAAAAATGAAAGCCTTACCAAATGGTGTTTCTTCAGGTAAATCTTCCTAGGCAGTCAGTGCCTTGCATGAGGGGAACAAGGCATAGAACACAGCTTAAGGGAGTGAAACAAGATCTGCTCGCATATTCTGCATTCTGCAGTGAGGAGAGGGTTCATACTGTCCTTACCGCCAGCCCGCCGCTGTTGCGCGTCCCCTCCACTTTCCTCACAGTGCTTTCAGGCAGGGCTAATTTGCCTGTTCGGAGATGGCTTAGGGTTCGCCAGGTGAGTCACTTAGAACCCAGGTTTTCCTGAGAGCAAATTGGGCCATGCACTCTAGCAGGGTGCTGTGCTGGCTCTGTGAATTTCCTCACTGAGTTTCACTTACTGGTGAATGTGAGGAAAGATGGCAGTGTGATCAGCAAATACAGTGAATGTTGAAATTAAAAAAATTACTACAGTGAAAACACATTGACATTGACTCTCTCTAAAATGCCTGCTGCAGGCACACCCTGGCCACTTCCTGCAGCAGCCCTGGCGCCCTCGCTTGTGTCTTTAGTGGTGCTGTCGTGGCTGCCCGGTGTCCTCAGTTCAAAATGTCTCTCCTGGGAGGTCGTGCTGACTTTGGGGAGGAGCCAGGGTCGCACAGTGCCAGGTCTGGCGAGTGAGGTGGCTGAGGACACAGCGTCGCCATCTTTCTACGAGCTGCCTTTCTGTTGAATGGCGCCCAACAGCAGCATTCACTGTATTTTTAAAAACACTTTGTAAGTACACTGATGAGCCAACTTCCAGAACTGCTTCTGAAAGTGGCAGGGATGATGGCATGAGTGTGTCCAGAGCAGAGAGGAGTGTTTGAGGGGTAGTAATGACAATGAATCTTGCTCTAATAATTTCTTAAAAATTCAGATACTCACCACTTGTTTTGACCACATTGCATAGATAGATATAGATACAGAAGATAAAGCCTGCCAGGAGCTTTCCTTTGAGAGAGGTTCAACTAAGAAGCTTTTCTGACGGAGTGAGCCTTAGCCTTGTCTTTCCAGAGCCGAGTGTTAAAAGATGGAGCAGCTTAGCCTGCCAATGTGGCCTGTCCAGCTAGGCCGTCTCTAGACACTGTTTGGTTTTAAAATTGGCTGTGTTTTTGTGACTGTAGCAGCATCCATGGAGAAAGCAAGCCCCACTCATGTGTGTCATTGTCTGTAGGCTTCAGAAGTTGGTTTTGAGAAGCAGTCATGCCTCCAGCGCCCAGCACTTACGACTGCTCATCCGGGGGCAGGACCAGGACTGCTTCCAGGTTCGTGAGGTGCTCAGCCTTTTGTTCTGCCCCACAGACTGTTCACAGTGTGTTTTTTTGCTATTGTTTGTTGTTTTTACATTGTAGCTTCAGAACACTTTTGGCTCAGAGGAGCGACTGACCAGTAACTGTGAGGTTACAGTTTGCCCGAAGGAAGACGTTGTCATCTCTGTGTTATTTGCCCCTACTCGATTGTCTTGTATGTTGGCCAAACTAGAAATCAAACAACTCAGAAATCGATTACAGCCCGGCATTAAATTCATGGTAAGGTAGTTTCATTACTTTTTTCTTCCCATGGAGTTTATGGTGTTATAACTGTTGGTTTAATGTTGGTAAATTATATACTCTGCTTTTAATAAGTGTCTAAACCTAAAAACAAATTAAGGAGTGGTTGTCAGATTATAAAGGAGCTGAGCATAGTGGCACATATCTAGAATTCTAGCACAGGGGAGGCCCAAGCAGGAGGATTGCCACAAGTTCCAGGCTAGCCTGGGCTGCATAATGAGACCCTGTCTCAAAAAGACAAAGGAAAAAAATTGTAAAGACATCCAGTGTGGTATTCTGTGACCACCAGTGTCTTCTCATGACTTCCAGTGTCAACTCAGTTTGAGATTGCTGAAATGTGCCTAGGTTTTCAGAAGCACATCTGTGGACAAATTGGAGTAGAACTGTTCAAGATTCAGAATTTCTAAGTACATCTTTTCAACTCAGCAAAAATATTGTCTTAGTTGACGTGGTCTGTGTAGCCACACATTAGGAACTTTCCCTAACAACGCAAGTGCACCCTTCGCGGTTCTGGGGATGGAGCAGTCCGAGAGCATGGTGCCGGCAGGGCGTTGTCTGGTGGCAGCTCCGCTCCTCAGCAGAGGTGCTGTGCGAGGCACTGTGTGCAGCTGCCGTGTGAGTTCACCTTCATCTCACAGCAAGTTTCCAGCATGCTGCTGTTGTCTACATTGCACACCTGGTTATCCAGGCAGAGACGTGCGTCCGTGGCTGTACATCTTGCACGAGGCGGGGTGGAAGTCAGGTGCAGACTCAGGCGGCCCCTCTCCAGACCTGTGCTGATCTGCCAGGCAGCCTGTGCAACACTAGCACAGCCTGCTCTGTGCCGTGCTTCTCCAGAGCCGTACCTGCCCACCTGAGGTGTCTCCCCGGGGAGACATGGTCGGGGTCGCAGTCGGGGAAGGGACAGGCACTCTTGACATCCCACGGGCAGAGGCAGGGTGCTCCTAAACGTCCTACGGAGCACGGGAATCACCTGGCCCCAGACTTCACGGTGGTGAGGTTAGAAAACTGCTGGAGCACTCATTAACTATTGGCATTAGTTGGGTTTGTTGTGTTTAATTGTGTTTTTTTTTTGAAACCTTTTTATTCAATCTGTGATTTCTGGACTTTGGAAATAGAATTGGTCCTCTGTCTCTGCAGGTTCCACATCTACAGAGTCAGCCAGCCACTAATGGGAAATTTGGGCGGGAAACTGCATCCACAGTGAGCATGTACAGGCTTCCCCTGTCACTGTACCCTAAGTAATCCAGCACAGCAGGTTCAAAGAGATGCTGTGAAATGTGCAGACGTGAAGGGTGTGAGGGCAGGAGGTGTGTGTGAGGGTGTGAGGGTGAGGGTTTGTGAGGGTGTGAAGTGTGTGAAGGGGTGAGGGTATGGAGGGCGTGAGGACGTGGAGGGTGTGAGGACATGTGCTAGTGCTCTGCAGATGTGACGTCAGTCACACCGAGGACTGGAGCAGGGAGGACCTGGTGCCCAGGGCAGCGGGGGCACCTGGGAACCGTGCCTGTGGCTGCAGGAGGACAGTGGTGCGGGAAGACATTTACGCTGAGTGTTTCCAGGGCTCCCTCTTCCTCTACTACTTTCTACTTAGCTTTATACAGAAAATCTGTCTATAAAATTGTGTGGTAAAAGAAAACTTAGAAATGGTTTTGGCTATCAAAAGTCATTTTGAATGAGATGGCATTTGTAGGCATTTCTGATCTGAAGCCCTTTAGAATGTGAAATCACAAGCAAGTTTATGAAAATCCTAAGTTCAGTTTTCAAAATCTTATTTTATTGGGTACATTGCACAATTCAAAATAAATGACCGATGTTTCCATGTTTGCTTTTTATAAGAGAGTCTTTGGAGGCTTTTCTAAATAATTAAGGGTGAGTGCTATTACTCTGGAGATTGAACCCAGAGCCTCACACATGCTAAACAAGCCCTCAACCGCAGAGCTGCATGCCCAGCCACTGTAATTTATTTGGAGACAGAGCCTCACTAAGTTGCCCACACTAACCTCAAATTTGCAGTCCTTCTGCCTCAGCCTCCCCATTAGCTGGGATTACAGGCGTGTGCCATTACACACAGGCTTAGAGGGTAATTTAGGGAGCTGTGTTTTGACGGTCTGTTCTCACAGGGTGAAGTTTTTGCCTTGCCCTGTTAGGGAGGGGACACTTGCTCGGGGACGGCTCCAGCCCCTTGTGGCTGCAGCAGGAGCACCCACGCCCAGCTGCCGGAAGTGGCTTCTCTGCTGCCAGCTTGCCTGGCCTGGCGGAGCTCAGTGCTTGTCCTCACGTTATCCCCTATGTGTGCTGCTCTGCAAGCCCGGCCTGACTGAGCGCTAATATTGTATGATAAGGGATTTTTACCAGAATTTGCGTTGTGATGATTTTCATGATTACTGAGAAGTTGAAGGAATTATGCCTTAAAATGCTGCACACACACCGCTTGGATTCTGCAATTCACGCTGTGCTGTTTCTTTCACCTCCCATCAGTTCCACTTTTTCACGCATTTCACAGTAAATTATACACATCAGTGTGTTTCACCCTGAAATTTCTGAGCAAGAGTGTCAGTAGCTATCTCTTCACTGTTCCTCCGCACCTAAGCTTGGCGGTTACGTATAACAAGTGAGATCATTCTCAGCGTGTTGGAAGGTGAGTGACACCTTGTGGTCCCATAAGATAAGGTTGTTATGCACTAGTGAACTCACCCAAGTAATCCAACCTTAACACTTTTAACTGTGTTCAACCTTTCTGTATTCTCTTGTGACTATAATTAAATCTGCTTTCTTATGTAAAGATAATTTTGAATGTGTATTTTTTAGATACCTTTGTCTGGATATGGAGGAACAAGTAATCTTATTTTGGAAGGTGTGAAGAAGTTATCTGACAGCTACATGATAACAGTTAACAGCTTAGTGCCTGGCCAGGAAAGCCGAGCTGTGTTTTCTGTCCGCAACACTGGCTCACGAGCAGCTTTCGTCAAAGCAGTAGGCTTTAAAGATTCTCAGAAAAAGGTTTCGTTGGATCCTAAAGTATTGAGGATTTTTCCAGATAAATTTATACTCAAGGAAAGAATGCAAGAAGTAAGTATAAAAGTTTATGCTCTGAAAAAGTGAACTTACACTTTTAGATTAATAATTACGTAGTTTGTGGCCAAAAACTGAAGTAGTTCTTGGAAGTAATGCAAGAGCAGACACACTCGTGCACTGTTTCTGTACTGGATGTTTAGACTCCCGAGTCCATGTGTCCAGAGGAGATGAAAGGGCCTAACCCCCGCTCTGACTTCCTCCCGGCCTCAGGATGTTACTGTGGTGTACACCCCACCAGACGAGAGGAATGACCAGAGAACTACAACAGAACTGTCCACTGTGTACTTCTTCGGTGGAGATGAAATTTGCCGGCAGCAGTATCGAAGGTAGGTTTTGTATCGTAGAATAGAAAATGTTGAGAACTATTCACTGAAAATAATGAAGGCTTGCGTGATAATGTGGATCTGGAATTTTTAGATCCGGCTTCATTATCAGTGAACTCATTGAAAAGCATTTTAAGGGGCGTAAAGTGAAGTAGGAACGAGGCATCTCTATTTTCTGGCCTTGGCCTTCTCTCCACACGTACATGCCTGTTTGCTTTTTACCCAGCAGGAGCACCGTCCTTCATTATGGGGTCTTGTATCCAGAGGCAGTAGATTGGTTTCAGAAAAGGTGGTAACTACTGAAAGATTAAAACAGTCCTGATTTGGAAAATTCTAGGAATGCTGTGAATTACTTGAAATGTTTATTATTTCAAGTTTGTCAGGTGTTTTACTTGTAGCTACCTTTTTTTCCCCTCCAAATGCAGAAATATTTTATTTTGGTTTCCTTTGTTGTTTTTGGAAATTCTGTTTAGGTTTATAAAACATAGGAATAGCCAACATTTAAAGTGAGCATTCAAAACCCAGTGTGACAAATTACTGACTTTTGTGCAATTAAGAATACATATATGAAGTTAAGCTACCAAGTCGTGCTATTACCATGGCACTTCTTAACCCTGTAAACCCTGTTGTGCTTGTGTAACGTACGTACTGACACATGTCCAACAGCAGTGGCTTTAAATGTATAAACAACGGCTCAGTTCAGTCAGATGTGGCAAAGACTTGCAATAAAGTGAAATGCTGTTAATTTCCCAAATTAACTTTTTAAAAATTCCCTTAAGAAGTTAATCCCAGGAAATGGTTTTTCCAGAATTCTACATCCCAGAATTTTGACTTGGTGAATACATTTTGTAGAGATCAACTAGTTTATAACATAAGAACATTTGTTTGTTATCCTCTGTTTCAGTAATCACCCACATGCAACTGTCCCGGTAACATATGTGAAGACACCCTTTGTCTGAGTTTATTTTGGGGGCTACTTGTAGCTACTTAAAGCATGTACTTTTATAAAATTTGATACCTCTAATTAAATGTAGTTTTCTATGCTAAATTGCTGGCCAACTTAGGATATTGATGTAGGCCTGGGTATAATTTAAACATGTTACATTCTTGGTTAGTAAATTCTGGATTCTTTTATTATAAAGTTTAATTTCCTAGACTAGAAGACCTAATTGTAAAACAGGTGAAGCAACTGAGTTCTGACTGTGGGTAGAAAATCAGCGAACGCAGCCAGGGTGTCGCGCACACAGCATCTCTTCTTCCAGCCCTTTGTCTGTGCTGTGTTGTTCTGACACAGGATTTGGGGAATTGTTTTTCTTATTTGTTGAGGTTCACTGGAAAGTTTAAAAAGAGGGGCTAAGTGATAACTTGCTTCATGATGTTAGGACAGGCCAGATGCAAGCAGCTGACCTTCAAGCCTGGCTCTGCTTTTCTTAATTATTTCACAAACAGAAGCTGACATTGGCAGAAATAAGATTACCAGGTCTCCCCTTTCCTCTCTCTCTTTTTCTTTCTGCCCCCCCCCCCGCCCCGCCTTAACTGGTCTATAAAGTACACTGCACTCAGTGTATTAGTTCAGAACTCCTATTTACCATAAATTTATAGTAATGAGATTTCCTTTGAGGTGAATGTCTAAGTATCATAGAAATGTTTTATGTTTCAGTTCTTGCATCAAAATTCTCAGGAATGGACCAAATAGATGTATTTATATGGTCTGATTTATCTGGTCTGATTCTCTCTGATCTCTTACCATTTTTTTTTTAAGCATGTTCTTTTTTTTCCTGAGATAACTATCTGAAGAGGACTAAATAATGAAAATATAAGAGCTGAGGGGGCTGGGGATTTAGCTCAGCAGCACAGCGTCTGCCTGGCAATTGCAAGGTCGTGAGTTCGATTCCCGGTAGTGGAAAAAAAAAAAAAGAAAATATAAGAGCTGAAAAGAATCTAATTTGACTTCTTTTTCTACTTACATTGGTGTTCCTGCTTTGGCATTTTCAAACTGATAATTTTACAATATATGACTTTCAAGGGAACCAAAACAGGTTTCCTTTTAAAAAGAACTTCTATTTGGACCTAAAATGTGATGTACTGATGTTAATGTGCAGTTAGTGAGATTTGCCAGATCCGTTAATGAAAGCATAATTAAGGTCATGTTATTCATCAAATCATTTCGGAATGAAAATCTCCTGGCAGAGCCCTGTCACATAACCCTGGGGTTGTCAAGCGGTTGCTTCCAGAACATAGCGTGCTGCAAAACCTTGACTTTGCCGAAGTGTTCCAACACGAGCAGCTCGTAGATGAAGGTGAGCACCCCTCTGCGTTCAGGCTTCCGGGCCATCGGGCTGTGGGGGAGGGGATCGGAGCCGTGTTTGGGTGCAGTGCCACAGCTCTGCTGCGTGACGGAACGATGCGCACCCGAGCTGCGGCGCCCTCCTCCCAGTGTGGGAAGAAGAAGGGTGCCTTGCAGAGTTGTGACGGGCTTCGCTTTACAGATACTCTCCATGTCAGTGTTAGCACAGGGAGGTGGGTGTGGTCCCTGCCTGCCTCAGGTGAATGACTACTTCGGGGTGAGTGATGGTGCACTCAGGCTTCTTTTGCGATTTCTGGGTTACTGCTTCCTGTAGGATTCCTAAATGGGAAGAGGGTAATGATCCACGCTGGACAAGTGAGGCTCCTCTCCCCAGACAGCCAGCCCTAGGCCAGAGACACAGTTCACATGTTTGATAGTGGTTTTTTGCTTGTACAGAATAAACACATCAAGACATACAAATCATTTAATAATATATGCATAAATTTTAACTATAGTGTCATTTATGATTGTTTAAGTAATTAAATGCCTGAGAATATGGGTAGTATAATTATGCAGAATATTTTTTTAAGCATTAAAACAATATGAATCTATTAAATGACATGAAAACTAAGAAAAGTATTTATTAAGAAAATACTGGCTTTTTTGCTCTCTGTGGTGGCACACACCTATAATTCTAGCACTTGGGAGGCTGAAGCAGGAGGATCTTCACTAGGTTGAGGCCAGCCAAGGGTACATAGTGAGTTCAAGGCCACCTGGATGTACACAGTGAGAGCTTATCTTAAAAACATTTTTTAAAACAAGGGAAAAGAAAGTATCATTCTAAAATTTTGCACAGTAATACTATAGCAAACCAAGTTTTACAGCAATTTTCGATTTTCCAGTGGCGCAAGAAACATGAGTGGCACTTTGGAGAAGTGGAGGGATTCAGGTTTGTATTTAGCCGGCTGACTCAGGAGACAAAGCTCCAAATTCTGAGCCCAGGGATGGGGTTAAAGAGCTTTTAGTAAAGTTTGTGGCGGAAAAGAGAAGCAAGTGAAGTTACAGAACAGAGAGAGTTGTTCAGACATGACGATTTACAGCTTTGAACATCTGGTCTGTGGAGGCCGCGGGAGTGGGGAGGGGGTTGTGAAGGGAGGGGAAGGGCGCAGTGAGGTCAGAAACTGCTGTAAACTTGCTGCTACAGAGTAAGAACGGAGCCCTGATGGGCAGGCGTCAGGGTTGAGCTTTGGGGCGCGGCCCTGGGGTTTATTTTTGTCTCAGTAAAATCTCATTTTGGTAAAAATAACTCATAAATAAGTTGACAGAGTGTCAACACACAGCGTTAAGTGGTTATGTTTCTGGTGATAGCTTTTCCCCCAATTTTTATATTGCCTCTGAAATACAAGATGCTGAAGAAAAAGGGTACTGATGCTTGGTACACATGCTGCAGGGTAGTGTGATCTCCGTAATTCAGATGCCTGGGTCCTCCACGGTGGGGTCAGGTGCAGGCCTGTGGGATGGCTGGGGTGTGTCCTGTGTGCTGAGTTTGGAGTTGGTGCAGGTCAGGCCCTGTCCCTGGCATGGGCCTGCGTCTCCCCTCCGCACCGAGCCAGGTGAGAACGAGACTGAACCGTGGTGTGATGCTGGAGCACACTCGCTCGGGGCTCGCATCAGGGAGGGCTGATTGTGGGTGGTAGCAGGAGTCTGTAGGGGCAAAGAGGCTGGCACTGCCCGGGGCCCAGCAGCTTTCCCTTTGCAGCCGGAGCAGGCACGTCTGCCGGTGTTCATCTAGAAGTATTGGGGGATGTAACAGTGCCTGGTTCTGTGGAGTGTCTGTGAGACCTTCACTTACACATGTGTATCCTTAACCGTGGTTTGCCTCAGGGCCTCACTTTGAGGAAGTTGTCCACAATACCTACCTCAAAGAATTGTTCTAAAAATTAATACAGAGGGACCAGAAGAGTTCCTGGCCCATAGTGGATATTTGATCTTTTCCTTTTTAAGACAGGGTCTTACTGTGTAGTTTAGGCTGCCTGTGAACTTGCATCAAAACTTCTGCCTCAGCCTCCTGAGGGCTGGGATTATAGGCATGCACCACCACGCTGGCGAATATGGTGTTTGTTGGCATACATTTATCTTCAGAAATATTCTTGTTTTAAGGCTCATAGAACCCCCGGAAATAGGTGGTTGTTCCAGGTGATAAGGGGGAAACCAAAGCTCAGGCCCCTGAGCTTGCCCAAGTTAACGGTGTCCCTAAGTGGCAAGGGCACTGCACAGGCAGGCTCGGAGCCGAGCACCTACCCACCCGGGTGCTGAATTTCCCATACTTGATGCCAGCCAGTAGTAACAGAGTGCCACCTGCCCAGCCTGGAGCAGCTCTGCTCTGTGCTGAAGACACACAACTTTATCTGCTGCTTTGTGTGACGCTCGTATGGAGTTGGCATATTTCACCGCATTGTTTCCTTTTCAGTCTATGATCTTCCTCCACGGCCCAATGATATTCAGCTCTTTTATGGAAATGTGCGTAAAATCATCCTGTCAGTAATCGGAGAATCCCGAGACTCCGTGTCCAAGGGAGAATTTCTTCAGCCTTCCTCGCACTCTGGCATGGAATCTAAAAGGTAAAATGTGCAAGCAGACGTCCTTTCACCAGATTCCTCGATCATAGAAGTCATAGTTGAGCTGATCTTTTTCTCCCCTGTACTTTATTTTCCCTCAAATGTTCATTATTTCACCTTTATTTATTAGTTTAGTTGAAATCATTTCGGACTCTGAGGAAAGTTTACAAATGATACAGAAAACTCGGTAAACTGTGTGCTCAGGTCCCAGTCATTCTTTATGTGAGTAGGGCTTTTCTCTGGCCCCACTCCAAGTTAGAGTTAGCTACGGGCTGATGACCAAGATGCCCTAATTTGCTCAGAGGGACCCTACAGGCTCACAGGGACCCATGGAAAAGTGTTGAACACGGGTGGCGCAGTGTCACCCCCTCCCACAGGTTCACAGTGTGTCCACCAGCTGTCCCATCTGTGCTCCTTAGTCGAGCCATAGAGCAGCGGTCTGGTCTGAATCTGCGGTCACCACTCTATCGGCCGCCCTTCAGTCTGGAGTGAAGCAGTTGCAGTCCTTCCATGCCTTTCAGGAGCCGGTAACAGGCTCTGACCCACACAGTCAGAGACCTCGTCCTTCTCTCAGCTTCAGAGGCCCGTTTGGGGGAAGCAGGGCTGCCTGCAGCTTCCTGTGTGCAGTTCTTAAATCTGTGCGTGCGGAGTGTGGCTCGCCTGGAAGGGGACTGTTCTTGGAGTGACTCCTGCAGGAATTCTTCAGCATCGCTGCCCCACAGACTCAAAAAGTTCAGCTTTCTTCACCACACATGGTTCTGGACAGGCCAGATGCCCTGTTGCAGACATCCTGTAGATGAGGACGCTAGTGGGAAGGTGTCTCTTTTCTTGCATAATCCTTGGTAAGGAAGCAGGTTGCAAGCCAGCTGCTAACCCTTTTCATACCAGTGATGTTGATTTTTTAAGTCCAGGCACTTTGTAAAACATCCCTCCACTTCAGTGTGCAGATTTTGGCTTCACGCTTTTGGTGGAACATCGAAGAGAAGCTTTTGTGTTTTCAGTGTCCACTGTCAGGTGGTAGTCAGGGCTGATTGCCCTGCCGGTCTGGTAGCTCAGCACATGGCCACGAGCACATGGCCACGCTTCCTCGCTGGAGTGCCTCGTGAGTGTCCCTGGGCAGATGCTTGGAGATGCTGAGTCATCTGTCAGCCTTTCTCGGGAGCTGCTGAGGCAGGAAGGGAAGGTTATTCCATCTCAGGGCTCCAGAGGTTTCATCCTGGTGGCCATTGCCATCCCTGGGGTCTGCGTTGTGAGAGCTTCCTGGCAGGGGTGCACTGGACCAGAGCTGCCAGCTCTAGGGCAGAAGGCAGCAGCCCAGGCCTCGCTGGCTTTGTCCATTTGCCCCCACCACCTCAGTGCCCTCATTTCCAGCAGTGCCACCAGAGTGTGGGCTGTCCGCTCATTCCCACTGGTGGGGTTAGGCTGCCGTGGCCCAGTCGCCTTCCATGGGTTGTACCTCCGCCATTGCTGGACACTGCTGGCTTCCAGCACACGAGCCTCAGGGACACTCGGAGCTCGGTGGACCTTGGCACCCACTGGTCATTGTCGCCCGAGACACACTGTTTCCAAGTTGCCAGGTGGTGAGTTTAGTTCCATCCTGGCTTTTCCCTGTGAGAGGTTTTCCTCCCTGCCCCGTGTACCTGTTCACTTATAAGAGAATGCCCTCAGCTGCCATCTGGCCCCTTGGCCCTGTCCTGGGCTCTGTAACCTTCTCTGGGAGCCCACTTACTCCCTGCATGCCAGATGGGTGCTCTGGGCTCCTGAGAACCTCCCTGCCCAGCTCTGATGGCCTTGGGAATTGGGCCAGTGCTGCTGGGCTCCTGTGTGTGGTCTCGTTGCTTTCTAGGCTGTCATGGTGGGCAGAGCTAGGAAAAGGACACATTGGTGCGGCTGCTCCCATTTACAGTGTATGAGTGCACCCTGGCCCCTGCAGCACACCGCTTCTGCAATAACTGTCCTCCCCCAAACTCAGGTGTCCTGGCCTGTTGTCCCTGTCATATGAGATTTGAGGAGCGTCCTGAGCCCAGTGTCCCCACCGAGCATGCCGCTGACTGTAGCCAAGAGAGGACGCAGACAGTAGAGTGTGTGTGCCCCAGTGTCTGGAGAGTCACCGGCCTCGGGAGGGCTGGTCTCAGAGGACAGGAAGCCAAGTAGCAGCTCTGGCCAGTATTGGGATGTGGGCTAGTGCCTCAGTGACGCAGCCAGGACTGTGACCTTCAAGCAGGGCCAAGGGCAGGGGCAGGAGGGAGAGGCAGGACTCTCTCTTTGCAGATGTTGGCTGTGGTGAGCTGAGCTGGAGTCCTCCACATGGCGGGAGAGGTGGGGCACTGGGTTAGACTCCAGTGTGCTATGTGCTTTGGGGATTACAAGCACTTTTATTTTTATTTATTCCTTATTTAACAGTACTGGGGTTGCACCCAGGGCCTTCACGCCAAGCTACAACTCCAGCCTTCGTACAATTTTGGGCAGAGTCACTAAGTCCCTAAGTTGCTCAGGCTGGGCTCTAACACAGGGTCTTCCTGCTTCAGCATCCCACAGTGCCAGGACTACAGCTGTGCAGCAAAATTCATTTGAATTACAATCTTTTCTAATCTAAGGCTTATTAGAAAACATGCAAGAACCTCCTGAGCTAGGCTGCGAGAGCGTTTCCCGCTGTAGCGCTCTGTGCGGGAGACTCCCGCTTCAGTGCATGTGCGGTCAGTGTGCGGCACTGACACACACATTGTAAACTTCGTTTTTCTTCTAACGTTGGACTCTTTTATTGTAAATCTTCTCAGCAACTTTAGAGGCAGAAAGCAGGCCAAAAAAAAAGGAGATGGCCCCACTCTCTTATTAAAGTTTATTATGCTCTGCGCCCTGTGTCCTTCACTTTTCTTCCTTTCAGGGTCATGCATTGAGCCCAGGGCCTTGCGTGCTCATAGCAGTAAGCATGCACCCTGGCCTTGTAAAACACAAAGAGTGGAGGGTTTCTACTCACCAAAAACTGCAGGACTTGTGGCGCCCTTTTAGTTTGTCTTACTGTATTTAGGCTTATGAAGAATTAATCCGAAGCACACGAAACAGTGGCTTTTCATCATATTTAGCTTCTCTCTCTGCTGATGCAATTGTAACTGTCTTCCCAGTGACTCGGGGCTGTCTGGACGGCACAGCGGCAATGTTTCTCTGGATGTCCTCCCCGTCAGAGGTCCTCAGGGCTCCCCCTTTCCCTCCCGGGCTGCCCACCTGCCCCAGACTGCCCCAGCCTCTGCAGAGATCTGGACCTTGCGGCCTGAGCACTTGATCCTGCTGGCCCCTTTGGCCTGTGAGTATCTCAGAGTGATGCGGCTGGAGCCTGCTCTGGTGCCCGAGTCTGTGCACTCAGCCTGCACTCAGCAGGCTGTGCCACAGGCTGGGTGCACCTTGGACGGGGCCTCCCAGCACCCGCCGGCCACACGGGCCACTTGCCTTGTACTCTCTAGCTCGGGCTCGGCTGGCCAGAGCACACACGTGTGCCCAAGTTCACACCTAGCAGCAACAGCCTTAGCTTTCTGTTCTCTCATGTCATCACCGGCCGGCTTCTTTGTAGCGTCTAACACTTGTTGAACTGAATTTAAAGTTGAGCAGTTGAGAAAAAGAGCAAATTAAGCCGGTGTACTAGTGACTTATTAAGGGTTTGGGTTTTTTTTGTTACTGATGTCTTTTTCACTGTTACCAAGTAGAAGTGACATTTATTCTTCCGACACACAGTAGGTGATATGGCCAAAACTGGGCATTTCCAGATTGTGAATAACTCTGTCCGGACCCTGAAATTTGAGCTGTACTGGCCAGCACACTGTCTGACAGTCACCCCGGAGCATGGGTTCATCACGCCAGAGTGAGTAGTCTCCTAAGTTCTGAGGTCCCTTGGGCGCTTACCTGGTGACCTCTGCGTCACTTCAGTTTGCTCAGGGGCTGGGGTGCTGCTCAGTGAGAGAGCATGTGCCTCAAATCTCTCATGCTGCAGACTAGAATGAATGGATGAGTGAATGGGTGATTGTTCGGTGGAAGTGGAGTGGCTGAGCTGGGGATATAGTTCAGTGGCACAGTGCCTACCTTGCAAGTGTGAGGTCAGGAGTTCAATTCCCAGTTCCCCGCAAAAAAGAAAGTGGAGTGGCAGTGAGCTCCAGACCCCTGCACCGGGGTGGAGGTTATACACTGCGGGGCACTGACCCCAAGATGCTCGGGACACATCTGGTGCCTGGGAACGAGGACATCACAGGTCTTCTGACGTGGCCACTGCCCCCAGTGCCTGTGGCCAGGAGCGAGACGGGGCGTGTGCCGAGGTGGCGAGGTCTCTGAAGCCCAGTGGTTCTGTCTTCCATCTCCTCGGTTTGGACTGTGTGCTGCTGGTGTTCTGGAGGACATTTGTCCTTCAGTTTCCTGACTTCGTTGTGTCTGAGCCAAGCCCTGGCTGTTGTTTATTCATGCAGTTCTCTGCAGAGCAGCGTCAGGGCCAGCCACCTGCACACGACCTAGGTGGCAGCGAGCTGTAGCCTGGAGGCAGCCGCAGCACCATGAGGACTCTCTCAGCACGGAGCTCTTCCTGCGTGTTGTTTCGTGACTGGGAAATGCAGCTTTGCCAGACAGCATGAAGCTTTACTTGGGGAGTGTTGTTTTTGGAGCGTCTGCCTGACTGAGCTGAGGTGTGGCCCGGTGCTCCAGGAGAGCAGTGCTGAGCTGCAGTGCCCACTGCCCTGCACCGAGAGAGCCACTGTGTGCAGCAGTGGACAGGGGTGTGTGGCAGGACAGGCTCCCCACTCACACTGCGCAGCCCGCGTGCTTGCCTGTGGCTGGGAAATAATCCCACCCTGCCTTTACTGAGCTATAACTGGTGATTTCTTAAGAGTCACAAATCTGGTCACATGACCACATTCCCACTCTTCCTTGGTACCCATGGTCTTGGAGACCAGGACTGAGTAATGAAGAAACCCTTCTCTTTGCATTCCACCTCCCTGCCCCCGTCCAAGTCCCGCTCTCTTCGTACACGTGACTCAGGGCTCCAGGCAGCTGTATCTCAGGTTGCTTTCGTGCTGTTTTTATGCATGTTTTGTTTTGGCTCACTCTGCCCTTGGGCTTCTGGGTCCCTGCCTTCTCCTCAGCTGGCCGTGGGCTTGGGGCAAGATGGAGCCGGGGTACGCACTGGCCTGGTTCTGTCCCCTTCCCGGCCGCAGAAGTGGCTGTCATTGGTGGAATGGTGTGTGTAGCTTTTTCTTGTCTTTCTCGTCCATCTGCTCCAAAAGTATAGGATATTCATGGTTTTCATTTTTCTTTTCTTAAGGAGTAAGCAACAGATTCTGGTGAGTCCTAACCCCTCCTTATCCACAAAGCAGCTGACATTACCGTGGAGCGGTTCCATCTACGTGCACGGGGACGACGGAGAGAAGGTACTTGCAGCTGTTGTTCCCTGTGTGTGCCTCTTGAGCTGCAGCCTCAGCTGAGGTCTGTGCCCTGCGTGCCAGCCGTGGGGGTCTGATTAGTGTGCTGAGCCAGACTTCTGCCCTTGGACGCCGGGACTCCCTTAGGGCGGGGTGTGGATAGTGGGCCTGGAAGCCACTGCTGATTTGCAGAATTTCCTTGTAAGAAGGGCAGATTGTAAGAGGAGAGGAAATAGAGTCAAAGACTAACTTTTCTTGAGATCTGCACAAACTTTATTTTCTAAATTCAGTATTATTTATTTGCTATTTCTTTTTTAAAATTAGGCTTCTTTTAAAATAGTCACTCTGAGCCGGGCATGGTGGCACATGCCTGTAGTCCCAGCACTTGGGAGGCTGAGGCAGGAGGATTGTTGCAAGTTCGAGACCAGCCTGCGCTACAAAGTGAGCTCAAGGCCAGCCTGAACTGCATAGCAAGACCCTGTCTCAAAAAGACAAAATAAATAAATAAATAAAATAAAATAAAATAAAATAGTCACTCTATTTGTGCCTTATCCATTTAACTTGGCTTTTTTCAGAAAATTGTGAAGGTTCAAATTCGAGAAAATTTGACCCAGGAAGCACTTTTATCTCGTTTGACCTCTGGCATACTTGGAAGTCTTGTCCCGGCATCTGGGCCTCCTGTGAGTCATTTGATGAAGCTGGCCACAAAGCCCCCTTCCACGCAAGTGCAGATACGGAGCAAGACCGTGACCTTCCCTGCAACGGCCCCCGGAGAGACCTCAGGTAGTGTGTGTGCTTCAGGGTCCGGGCTCCCGTGCACCTCACCTTCAGCTCACCTGCTCAGGGGGTGCTGAGGACACACCCAGGGCCTTCCTGGTGCTGGGAAACCGTCCACCCCCCCAACCCCGGCATCCTGTGCTGGTCCACCTAAGTCAGGTAAGGACAACCCCCTGCATCAGCAGAAAATCCAGAGGTCATTGGCAAGTGGTTTCCAAGAAGGGCTGGATTTGGGAGCTTAATCTTTGATTTGTCTTTTTGAGACAGGGTCTTGCCATGTAGTCCAAGCTGGCCTTGAGCTCACTTTGTAGCACAGGCTGGCCTCAAACTCGCAGTGATCCTCCTGCCTCAGCCTCCTGAGTCCTGGGATTATAGGCATGCACCACCACACTGGCTCCTGGGAGCTAAATCTTGAAATGTGAAACCTGGACACTGAATCACTGTTGAGCCTGCCCCCTACCCACCCACCTGCCCTGACCAGGGTTACTAAGTTGGAAATCAGCAGATGAGGGAGGAGAGGGAGAGTGGTGGCAGGCTCGCGCTGAGGCCCTGCAGAGGCTTCATGGCTGCCCATGGGGCCTCCTGTAGTGTGGCCGCCGTGGCTGTGCCTCTGCTCAGTGGTGTGGAGAGGCTGTGGCCTGGGGCTGTCCCCGCAGGTGCTCTGTTGCTTGTGCTCCTCATGAGCCCCGGCATCCTCCTGCCTCCCCTCCCAGGCTCCCCATCGCTGCCAGCCAGCTGTCAGCTCCTCGCCCTGTGCTGGTGCTGTCTCTGGCCTCAATTTCCCTCTCTGGGCCTCTCCTGGGCCTTCCCCTCATTCTGGCAGCCCAGCTCGATGCTTCTGGCCGTCACTCTGTCCCTGGCTTGCTCGCCCTCTGCACGCCCCACGCAGTCCCCCTTCACCCCTCCGAGACCTTGCAGGTCATTGCTGGCACCTGGCAGCAGAGTGGGGCTCTGAATGATGCCTCCTCAGTGCGTGTCCTCCTGCCTCGCCTGAACGCTGCTCTGTGTGCTCCCCTCTGTCTTCTCCCTGCTAGTGGCAACCCAGTGATGCCCTGTGGGCAGGCGAGCTCACCTCCTGCCCTGTGGCATCTGCGTGGCCCTGGGTGGGAGTGTCCTGGATGAGATGTGCCTGGGATGGCACCCGCTTCAGCGCTTAAAGTCCAAAAGGGCTGTCTGACCTGATGCCCTAGCAAACCCTGTAATTCCTGTTGGACCTCAGTAGGGACCTCTGGGGCATCCTGGGGCTGTCACCGAGGGCTGTCTAGGGAGCTGTCCATGTGCTTCTTGCAGAGAGCTGTCTGGAGCTAGAGAATCCCGGACCCACGGATGTGAGGTGGCACCTGTCGTCCTTTGCCCCACCGTATGTCAAGGTCAGTCCTACCAGCCACACGTGTCCATTGTACCCTCAGGCTTGTGGGAGAGCAAGGCCAACGTGCCAGCTGTGCACCCCACCAGCGCCTCGCCCGAGCTTCCTTGAGGGGACGACTAGGACCCAGTCCTCCCTAGGTGGCTCTCAGAGTCACACGGGAGGATTCATGTGAAAATCACGTCTGCTTTATTTGACTGTGCCATCTATTCCTGGCTGTTATCTGAAATAGCTGTTTTGAAGGTGAAGAGGAGCTTTGATACTCAGCTCTGTGAGTACACACGGCTGGCTCCTCCCATGCTCAGAGTACGCCTGAGACAGGAGGGGGGCCCCCTGTACCCCAAGTTGGCCACTCAACACTGCGGTGTTTAGAATACCAGGCCTTCCCTGCCATGTGTTTTGTGTGGTAGTTAATTAGTAGCCTTGAGCTGCAATACTAACAAAATGTACATGAAAGACAGTCATGGGGCCGCCTGGAGGAAAAGCCAGCCACTGCCTCCCAGGATGTGAAGTCACATCCTAGCCTGGGGGCTCAAGGGCAGGACAGGCGTCTGACATTGTGAGCAGTGTGGTGACACTTGCTGTGGCCAAGAGGCATCAACTGCCACACGGCCTCTGTGTGGGGTGACGGCCACAGAGGGTGCCAGACGCCCCGGAAGGGGTAGTGCCCCTGGGACAGGCCCCCCGGCCTTCCCGTCTGCAGTTGTGTGAATGACTGCCTTGCAGGGAGTCGATGACAGCGGAGATGTCTTTCGAGCGACCTACACGGCATTCAGGTGCGCTCCTATTTCCGGTACACTGGGAAGCCACGGAACCCAAAAGGTGAGCTCCGGCCGTCACCACGTGGGAGGAGCGTGGTGCTCCTTGGCGGGGTGCTCAGGGGCCCCGGCTCAGCAGGCTGGCCCTGGACTGGCCCTGGTCTCAGAGCCATTCTGCCTGTGGTGGAGCCAGCCTCCCAGGTGCGAGCGGCACTGTGCGGCTGCAGGAGGGAAGCTCTTGCTATGAGGAACCTGTCAGTGCACAGCTGCAGCTCCCAGAGCTGCAGCACACTTTGCCAGGCTAGATGACAGTTTCCCCTGCCAGCCATGGCCAGAAAACCTAGCAGTGCCCCAACAGCGCCGCGTTCATGGCAGCAGTGCCAGAGTAACTTCACAGGCAATGGAGTCTCCTGCTGCGACGCACCTCTGAAATCCTCATTCATTCTGGACCTGGCACAGACCCTTCAGGATCTCCTGGTGGCCCTGGCATCCACTTGACCTCATTAACTTACTTTTCGTTCTGCTTGCAGGCAGTCGTGGGAACTATCGCATTTACGTGATATTGGCCCAAAGGAAACAAAACAACCTTGAAAAACAACGTGATTTATGCCGACTTTTGGACTTCTAATGAGTCCTAGAGTCGAACTGTAAAGTCATAATCACCAAGAGTCCTGGAGAAGCCTTGGTAGTGGCCACAAACTGTATTGTACTTCCCTGGTCTGTGCAAGGCTGCCAGAGCTCCTCAGTGCTGTAGAGACACAGTTGTGCAAGTGTCACTTGCTCCTTTTCCCGAACCACAGCAGAAGCAAAGCAGAACAGAATGGAAAAGCTCAGCACAGGGGAGGGGTTGCAGGAGAGTATGCAGCAGGAGAGCCAGCCTGCGTGGGTGGGTGGGACGAGCGAGCATCGTTAGCACAGTGCCGCTCCCTGAATTGGCACAGATCCATTATAATCCCAGTCCAACCCCAGATGGACTTTAAAAAAATGTGTTTTTATTTTATTTGTTTTTGAAGTTGAGATATGAATATGAATGATGATATGAATATGCACGGAACCCAAAGGAAACAAAACAACCTTGACAAACAACAGAATTGAAAGGCTTACATTGCAGGGCAGTAGTTGAGGCCAGAGGGCTGCAGGTCTGAGGCTAACCTGGGCTGCTTCTTAGACCCCAGCTCCAAGTAAAATGGCTGGGGCATAGGTTTGTGGTGGAGCACCCCTGGGGCTTAATCCCCAGTGCTGGGGAAAACCAAACCAGGGTGGATTGATGTAGAGCAGACACACAGAGCTCCAAACGTGTATGGAAGACAATCGGGAGTCCAGAATAAACCCTCATATCTGTGCTCACTTGATAATCCTTTTTTTTTTTTTTTTGGTACTGGGGATTGAACTCAGGGCCTTATGCATGCTAGGCAAGCACCCTACCACTGTGCTGCATCCCCAGCCCTTGATACTCTTGATAAGGGCGCTAAAATAGTTTAGTGGAGAAAGTGTTTTTCAGCAAATGGTGCTAGAAAAACTGGATATCCAGAGATAAAAGAATTAGATTGGGTCCTTAGCTATCATCATGTAAAAAGATTAACTCAAAATAGACCCAAAATGTAAGAGCAAAAAACATAAAACTTATAGAGAAATAGGTTATGCGTTGATTTCTTAGATGTGACACCAATACAATAAAGCAAAAACTACGAAAGCAAATATAACACCATCAAAGTAAAAAGACTACCCACAGAGTGGGAAAAATATTTGCAAATTACATATTTGACAAATGACTCACTTCTAGAATACAGTAATACTTTTTGTAATGAACTTTTATAACTCAGTAAACAATCCAGTTTTTTTTTTTTTTGGTTTTAAATAAATCTTACTGTAATCCAGACTGGCCTCGAACTCATGATAATCCTCCTGAATGCTGAGATTATAGTCATGTGCCACTACATCTGGCTGATCTAGTTTTTAATATGAGCAACTTGACATGATAGTGCATACCTGTAATCTTAGCTACTTAAAAGGCCGAGGTAAAAAGATCCCAAGTTCCAGGCAACCTGGGCACCTTAGACCCTATTTCAAAATTTAAATGAAAGGAGGGTGGGAAGGGCTTGGGATGTAGCTCAGTGGTAGAGTGCTTGTCTAGCATGGTTCCATCCCCAGTAATGCCTGCCACAAAAGCAAAAACTTTAAGTAGACATTTCTCCAAAGATGTACAAGTGGCCAATGAACTTCAGATGCTGAGCAGTCCTAAGCGTTAGCAGAATGTAGGCAGATCCAGAAGTGGGCCATCATTTCGCACCGGCTAAGCTGGCTGTGATTAAAGAGAACAGAAGGTCAGGCTTGCTGGGGATGTGGGGAGCGAGGAGCCCCCGTGAGCTCCATGTGCCACGTGGGCCTGCAGCATGGTCAGCCACTGTGATCGGCAGTGTACGGCTCCTCAGGAAGCTAAAGGTAGAACTGCTGCCTGACCCAGCAACTGTGTCTGCATATGTATTTTTAAAGAGCCAAAACAGGTGTTCCAGCAAAAACTCAGGCACAAGTGCTGCTAGCAGCATTTCTTAGTGGCCAGAAAAGGGGGAAACATCTGTGTGAGGGAGCCTTGAAAATGGCACGCAATGAGGAGGAAGCCAGGCGTAGAAGACCACACACTGACCCTGTTGGTGTGTGACACGCAGAACAGGCAGGGGCGCATGTCACTCGGGGCCGAGCTGAGGTGGGAGGCGGGCTGCTCCTCCTGGCCCTGGGCCTCGGGGCCAGCAGCACCTCAGGCTGGTTTGTGGTCATGGCTGCAGCTTTGTGAACAGGCAGAGGCCCACAGGATGGCTGTGTGGAACAGCAGTCGGGAGTCCGAGTCTTCCTCTGGAGCAGCAGCTGGTCAGGTGCAGCTGCAGGAGGACCCAGGAGAAGTGCCAGGCAGGGTTCCACAGCCATGCAGGTCCTGGGGCACACCTGGCTGTCAGATGGCGGAGGACAGGCACTGGGCGGAGCACAGGCCGCGGGGAAGATAAGCAGGGCCGGCGAGCAGCGTTGGATTCGGCGTGTGAGGCGTGCTTTCTTGGCCCTTCTGCACCGGGCTCTTGAGCTTGCTGTGGTTGTTGTTTCTAGGTTCTGCATGGGCAGAAAGGAGGCCCCTCACATGTGCCTGCCTGCACTCGGGCCCGTGACTGTCGCTCCTCAGCCTGATGCCCAGTATGCCCACACTGGCAAAGCTGAGGCTGGTGACTCATAGAGGCTTTGTACATGTGGGCGCCTATGAGCCCCTGCTGTGCGGTTAGGGGAGTCGCAGTGGGCACTGCAGTGGGCGGCAGGCACGCTGACTGGGCTGGGACAGAGGATTGTTTCTGCCCAGGACCCTCCTCACGGCCCTGTGCCTGGCGCCTCTGGTACTTGGCAAACATATTTCCTCCAAAGAGCACTTGCTGTGCATTCTGAGGGGTGTGTTCTGTAAACCTCAAACAGTAGTACCTGTGTCTGGGATCTGGTATAGCACTAAGTGCCCTAGAAAGTGTTCAAGTTCTTTTTTCACCTGGTGGGATGACTAGCTGGTATGGAAGCGCTTGGGGGTCTGAAGCGGACTCCCAGCTGGGAGTCCGGTGCTCAGTGTCGCGTCGAAGTCTGGGCCAAAGGGCTCTTCTGGCTGTGTCTGCAGGTCTCCATCACATTCCTGCCGAGAGATCAAGGGGATTATGCCCAGTTTTGGGATATCGAGTGCCACCCTGTTAAGGAGCCTCACTTGAAGCACACGTTGAGGTTCCAGCTTTCTGGACAGGTGAGTATTATGCTGGATTTAAGCAAACTGTGCTGCGTATTAGGACTTTAAGTGACTGTCTTGGTTACTTTTCTCTCATTGCTGAGACAAAATACCTGACACCCAAAATTAAGGAAGGAAAGGTTTATTTAGCTCACAGTCTGTGGAGGTTTCAGTCCATACTTGGCTGGCTCCAAGGCAGAGTGGCACATGGCAGAGGGCAACCGTTCTTGGCAGTGGAACACAGCAAAAGCAATAAGAGCAAAGAGGGAAGTGTGGCAGAGAGCAAGCCTCTTTCCCTCCCTTGTACTGTATGCAAACTACCCACCCCAGGGCAGATGCAGCACTCACACTTATAATCCCAGCATTGGACTATGGATCAATCAAAAATCTAGCAACCAGCCCCATGACTGCGTGAGGCTTTGGCTGGGACGTGCAGGCACAAACCGTAACAGTGACTGTGTTAGGAAAAATGCCTGAATATGCAGAATATTTTCCTGACACCATTTCTGTCTCACTAACTCTGTCGCCCCATAATCTTCATTTCCATGTCTGTGTTAATCGGCACATTTCAGTCCTTGTGCACAGAGTGAACGATGGAATCGGTATGAAACACGTGCATGGGTGTGTCTGAGACGAGAGCAGCTTGCAGTTCAGAGGATTTAAAAATCACACCTTTTAAAAAAGCAAGCCGGGCGTGGTGGTGCATGCCTGTAATCCCAGCACTCTGGGAGGCTGAAGCAAGCACTTGGGAGGCTGAGGCAGGAGGAACGTTGCAAGTTTGAGGCCAGCCTGGCCTATATAAGTGAGTTCAAGGCCAGCCTGAACTGCATAGGGAGACCCTGCCTTAAAAAGAGCCCCCCTCAAACAAGCAAATGGTAGAATTGTGATAAATAAATGACCCCTGTGTCCCAGAATGCTCACCCCCGCCCCCTTTCTCCACAGAGCTTCAGGGAAAGGGACGAGCCCAAGGCCGCTCACGCAGGCACGGACAGCCTGGTAAAGGTGGACACCACCGCCATTGCTCGCAGACGCACTACCTCAGAGCCCTCTGCCCTCCTGCTCGGGTACGCTGTATGACGCTGGTCGGCACGGGGTGTTCCTGCCCCCGCAGCACACGCCTGTGGGCCTGTCCAAATACTCTGTTCTGATTTCTGTCCTCAAAGCTTAGTTTTGCTTGAACTTCCTGTTGCTGAGTCATGTGATAAGCATGATGGCAGATAGTTTTCCCAGAGTGGTGATGTCATTTTACATTGCCACAAGTAACATATGAAAATAGATTCTTAAAATCTTTAAAATGTAAATTTACAGTTTTCTGTCTTTACTGCTGATCTTTAAGTGTTCCACTTGATAGAAATGTTACCTGTGACTCTGATTAACAGTGAGGTCTAGTGTAACTCTGAAAGAAGATGCTGAGAAGGGAAGGGTGTGCTAGTACTGCTGGCTTCAGTAGAAGTTTGTCACTTACTTTCTGGTAGCGTTTGGAAGGAGCTGGCACCCTCTCGGAACGCGCTTTCTTAGCCAGTCAGCTGCGCTGTCGCTCAGTGACGGTCTCATTTGCTGAGCTCAGTGTGCGCTGTGGCGGGCCCTGGAGGCAGAGTGGTGGGGTTGTCCTGGTCCCCCCAGGGCCTGGGTGGCAGCCCAGGGTAAGTGGAGTCAGGCTCGAGGTGGACCACAGGAGGTTTTGTGTTTGTGGAGAGTCCCGGAGGGAGGGCAGTGTCGGGCCTGAGACAGGCTTGTGGGCCAGGGCTCGGGCTGGGCTGGGATGCACGTGAGGTGCTAGAGGCCCCCGACGGACCCCAGACACACTACGTACGGGTCCCACAGTGGTCAGGGGTCCGGCCAGGGAGTGGGAAGGGGGCAGAGGTGAGCCTGAAAGGCTGGGGCGGCCCGAAATAGCCAGGGCATGACTCAGCGCAGGCCGCCTGGAGGCTCCTTGACAGTGTGTGCCCAGATGGTAGTGCTGCGGTGGAGGGCGACCCCGGAGCACGTGGCTCGGAGGGCGGTGGCTCGCGCACTGCACAGCTCTGTGAGGCCAGAGCCTTGGCCTCACGGTGCTCCCGGCGCTGTGCAGTCACCGCACAGCTGGGGCCTGGCGGCAGTCTGTTTCTGTGGCTCTGAACGCCCCTTTGGCGCTGTCGCGAGCAGGCCGCCTGACGAGAGCCGGCGTGGCGTGTACGCCCCAAAGGACGCCTACACCTTCCCGCCCACCCAGGTGGGGGCGTCGCGGGTGCTGAAGGTCAGCGTGCGGAACAACTCCTTCGTCACACACTCGGTGAGAAAGCGCGCGTTCACCTGCGCAGCAGGCTCCTCCCTGACAACCAAGTGCATCTCCCAGCGAGAGTATATTTAAGTTGTGATAACAAGTTAACTTTTCAAAATGCCCTAATAGTATATTTGAAATTCATTAGATGTTAATGACCTTTAGTTTAAAATCAGAAATTTTGTTTTCATATTTTAATTTTCTTTAACTCCTTGCTGTGTTCTGTCTCTCGAGTACAGGCATATTTCTGGGTGACATTTACTGTAGTCAGAACTGGAGTGAATGTGTGTTAAAACGCTCCTCAGTGTATTTTCATTGCGTGAGCGTTTGTTGTCTTACCTAATTTTGTGGCTGTACCTAAGTTTGCAAAATGAGTCTTTAATCACAGCGGTGCAGGGCATGTGTTCTGTGTACTGATGGAATCGGTGTGACTTCATAGAGTGTTTCTTGCTAAATTGCAGCTGAAGTTTTTGCCGCCCAGAGAGCCGTTCCACATCAGGCACTCCAGGTACTCTCTGAGGTGAGTTCTCGTGCGCAGGGTCGCCTTCAGGGTGAGGGCTGAGCGCTCCCTGTCTGCCTCACTGGCAGCGGAGAGCACCGAGCTGGGTGTGGTCTGTTTTCACGAGTGAGTGAAGGTAGCCAGGCACATGGGAGTCACGTCCGGTGGCGAGGGGGCTCGAGCCGGTGCCCTGCGCGTGCTGGGCGGGCGCCGTGCCCTGAGCAGCACTCAGTGGCTCTGTCCTCTGGGCTGGTCCCTGTGAGTCCCAGTGCGGAGGGGCCAGAGGTCCCAGCAGGTGCACAGTCGCCCGTGGGCGCTGGGCTGCTGTGCGCCACTCCGCTGCAATCCTCTCCCTGCAGGGCCCGGCATTACATCCACATCCCCGTGCACTTTCGCCCCACGACCACGGGCAGCTTCCAGGCGCTGCTGGTCATCCAGACGGATGAAGGCCGGAGCACCGCTGTCCGGCTAAGCGGGGAAGCCCTGGGGAGAGATTAACAATACATTTTGTGTAAATGACATAAGTTGTATTTTGGATATGTCATTTTTCTACACTGCAATTATGCTGTTGTGTATATTTTGTATCATAAGTCGGCTATGTATAACTAAAATTTTGTTTTCAGAAGCTAATC